ACTCTAGGCAGTAGGTAGCTATCAAACAGGGAGGTACTACCGCCTGGGAAGATATTGGAAACATAATGTGTTGTCTAATGGTAGACCCTGCTGTCATATGGTATCACGAAAATTGTGACCAAGTCCCAGGTTGCTGATCTGTCTTTCTGCCTCAATTACACACAATTGCAGGGTCTCAATTGGTTCCCTTACTTGACAACACAACATACTTACATTGTTTCTCACTATTTTTTCTTTATAGTTCTTTATTATTATTATTATTATTATTATTATTATTATTATTATTTTATTTTACTTGTTATTATAAAGTTTATTTACTATGAATAATTTTTACATTTCGCCCCCCAGGCCCTGATGTGGGTCAGTGACCTGTGCCCGGGTGGGCTAATCCCTGTGTAAAAAAAAATAAATAAAAAGTGATCCCTGTATGTCATACTTTGGGAGGAGGTGACAGAGGGTGATACCTGCTTATTATTTATTTTTTACTTTTATCCTCTTCGCCACAGCTCAAGGTTGAAGAAGTCACAAGTCCAGAAATCTAAGCGGGCAAACTTTTTCGGAATGAGAATTGTGAAGTCTCGGAACAAACAGCCAGAGAGCAGTGTGATGGCACCGATTGTGATCTCATTCAAGGCCAGACGTGACCAACACTGGAGCAGGTTCCAATATATTCAAGAGCCAGTGCATACCCAGTATCTGCCAACGGCGAGTATCACAGACGTAGCCAAGCGGCTAAAGAGCTGATCAGTGGCGAAGAGGATAAAAGTAAAAGTATGTACTGTATACTGTACTGTACTGTACATTAAAGTACAGTACAGGTGCTCCTCTACTTACGAACGCGTTACGTTCCTGGGGCTTGTTTGTAAGTCCAACTTTACTCTTGTAGATACCAAACATATTGTAACAAATGAAAAGATTATGAATATTTGGTACAGCTATACCCTTTAATACAGCCTTAAAACCTGGCTCACTCTTCTCCTCTCAGGAAATGTTTGTTGTATCTGGAATTTTCTTCAAAATAATCCAGTCTCATCCACATTAAACACCTGTTCTGGCAGGTAACCCCCCTCAGTGATAATGTTTGTATCTCTTAAAGTTTATAAGTTGAACGTTCTTAAGTAGAGGAGCACCTGTACAGTATACAGTATAGTACATACACTTCTGTTGGGCTACAATACAAGTGAGTGGTGGTGAGTTTGAGTCAAATTTTGACCCTCAAATACACTCGGCCATATTCAAGATCATTTAGCCTGAGATCTCTTTAGGGAGATTGCCCGCATTTTGCATTCAAGAAGCGTGGGGAATCCTCAAGGCATGAGCAATGCTCACAGATATCATTGGAATTTTTGTGAGAAGGGGGTGGGCATCCTAAGCAAGTCCTAAGGATAAATCAACGTTGACTATTAACCCAATTGCAATTACAAATGTTGCAAAGCTTCTAGTATACAATAGTTGAAAAAATAATCATACATATATACATATTTTGCTGATGGTCAAGGATGGATATGGCTCTACCCCCAAAGATTTGATACATCACATTTGTTTACCAAAAACCAGACCGCCAAATTTGAAAACCATCTGCAGATGACACCACAGCAAATCTCATTCAAGCCTAAAGCTGTGCTTATCTCAGTTGTATTTCCGATAGATAAAAAATTATTTGATGAGGTTAGTTCAAACAAAAAACAGAATATTTTGTATACTGTATATTCATGAATCTAGTGTGAATACAGAGGAAGGTCTTACTATAGAAATAGCCCTTCAATTTTGTTAAATGTCTTTAGGCATAGCACTCTAACACACACGTGTGGACTCGCTTGCCACTAATATAGAAGATACATTTGATAATTTTATTGATTAAGTACAGTATATCTTTAGTTTCTTTTTATTGCCCATAACTAACATAACAGTATGGGTTGTTTGACACACACACACACCAGGAAGATTTCTCTTGAGTTGGCAATACAGGTATTTCAATACAGTACTTGTAGCATATTAGCCTAGGTCAGGGTTCAATACTGATGCTGAAGTCTTCACTCTACCTCACACACAGATGTAAACTCTTTTATTACCAGTAAACAAGATTGGTAAATTTTTACAAGTTGCCCACAATATTTTTGGGTCCAGTTTTAGGTATATTTCATCATTCTCAGTAGCTTTCATTCTACACATTTCTGTCGCAGACGAATAATAGTGAACGTTATAGAACCTGACGTTACCAACCCCAAAAACCTACTAACCTTACATACCTCCCTAGCCCAGGGGCGACCCCTACCATATTAAACAGCAAGTACTTATTTTGTTATCTGGTACTAATGAAAGTAACTTTATTGAAGCATTATGGTATAATGTTACATTTTATGTGGATGTGAGAGTCTGCTCGAACCGAGCAGGTCGGTTGTAAACAGACATGTGGTTGACTTGGCAGATTATGGGCAATTTGTAAAAAAAAAAAAAAAAAATACAAGATTTGTACTTTGTACAATACAGTATACCTGTATAATATATGGTAATTCTATTGGTTCAGTATACCTTTATTTGATTTTTATTGCCCACAGCTAACAGTAATTGTGATCAGCTGTTCACATAGGGCATACCAACATTCCCCTTTTTCCTATGTTGGCAGACCTAGAGCAAGTCCCACAAGATGTACCACCTAGAATGTGACCAACACTTGGGCAAACCTCACCTTGAGGATTCCTCATGAGGAAAGCCCACATAAAACGATCATGAATACTGCTGACTGTCCTATTACAAACACTCATATACTGTACTGTACTACTTATTATATTAATACAAACAACTTAACACAATTTATAGATGAGACAATTGTAATACAGTACTGTACAGTATACTGTACAGAACAGTACAAGGTACCGTAGTACAGTACAGTACTGTATATAATTACTGGTATGTCATTGAATAATAAAGGCCATTATATTGCTCACAATTACCGGTATCATCATCTTTTAAAAAAAAATGGCATGAATATTTTTTTTTTATTGCAAAACAACTTGAAAACTTTCATATTTGAAGGTTTACAACCAAATATGAGTTTATACTGTATTTATAATGAAACAATTATATAAGAGTATTTTTTTTTTACAAATCTCCCTGGCTGATATGTTATTAGTACACTACAGTAGATTATGTTAACTGAAAATCTAATTTACAAAATAATGTTTTACACAATATGTGACCATTCCAAATATGAAATTTGGTATAGAAGTTTATTTTGATTAAATTTTCAACAAATTATGTGAGAATAAATAAAGAGAAATTGGACATTAAGACGATTGGCTGTGTCTGTGTGTGATGAGTCGCCTTGTCTTCATGTGAGTATGAGGAGTAATTTATGGTGAATGACAAAACACTATTTGTACAGTATACTAGACTGATAGTACTTGACAACACCGAGTGTGTTAGTGAATAGTGGAGTACAGTAAGTCAGTGTACAGGTACTTGTAGACACTAATAATATAACCAAACTAATGCAAGTACAGGCCTAATATCTCTCTCAGCCGGAATCCCTCTTAACCGGAACTCTTCGACAGCCGGAATTAAAATTTTATCGGAAAATCATTCCCCAAACCGTAATTTTCCAGAAAAATCCAGCTTTGGGAACGATTTTCTGGAAAATTCCAAGAAAAATTTCTCAGTGTCCAGAAAATTTGGGGGTTTGCGAAATGAAAATCAAGCTAATTTTTTCAGAAATTCCGAGAAAATTTTTCCAGTATACACGGTCAAATTCCTGGGATGGGGGATATTTTCCGGCTTTGAGAGAGTTGTCTCGTTACCCGGAAAACTCTCATTCCCGGAAGTGCTCTGCACCAATTGCTCCGGCTAACGAAGATATCACTGTACAGTATACTTGTAGTGTACTCTGGTTTATTACACATTTTCCTCGGACACTTGTTCGTCATAGTTTCCACTTTACATTTTAAGGATGCCTCTTGGTCCCAAACTTTTGGACTGCCAGCAGTGTACATCAGATATATAATAAGTTATTTATTTACTTGAAACCTTACACAGTGAATGTTGAAAACACGGCTTCTCGTATGATCAGCGAAGTTAAGTAAAATTGGATCTAGTGCAGTGCAGTATACTACTGTACACTGGCTTCAGGTACTTAACCAGTCTAGTGCAGGGCATCTGGCCATAAATGAAGGATTGACCCTGAAAACCAATTTCAAGGCCGAGCCCAGAACTAGGTTGCTTGAACTCTTCCCTCCGACCAAGGGTAAGTGAGGAAGTCGGCTGTAAATAGACAATAGACTGAACCCTGGCAAGGTCAATATGGCTGACCCAAAAGACATGTATGGTTGACTCTGCGAGGAGAAAACATTGACCTCTAAACACTGTAATACTGTACCATACTTTTTTTTAGGTCTATGGCTGTTATAAGAAATGTTTACTATTTGTTTACATTACTTGTACCTACTAATGTCAGGATTTCCTGGGTCCTAGACTAATGGTTTATTAAGAACACATATTTAAGCTGGCGACATCAATGCTTGCACTACTTCTGACATCAATATTTGTTAAGATTATTATACACTGAGAAAATAAGTGGCTACAAACACCTGGTGATCCATTACAGAGAAACACACTTCAGGTATCACTGTAATAAGTTGGGGACACAAAGTACAGTACTGACACATACAGTACAAGATAGTAATGTCAAGGCACAAATGATTTCTCTCACACAAGGCAAAACTTCTTTATGTACAGTGTGTGGGGGGAGTGTTACAGGTATACAGTGTGTGGGAGAGTGTTACAGGTTTATAGTGTGTGGGAGAGTGTTACAGGTATACAGTGTGTGGGAGAGTGTTACAGGTATACAGTGTGTGGGAGAGTGTTACAGGTATACAGTGTGTGGGAGAGTGTTACAGGTATACAGTGTGTGGGAGTGTTACAGGTATACAGTGTGTGGGAGAGTTACAGGTATACAGTGTGTGGGAGAGTGTTACAGGTATACAGTGTGTGGGAGTGTGTTACAGGTATACAGTGTGGGAGAGTGTTACAGGTATACAGTGTGTGGGAGAGTGTTACAGGTATACAGTGTGTGGGAGTGTTACAGGTATGCAGTGCGTTACTGACCCACTTGTTAGCATCATGGTGTTACTGACCCACTTGTTAGCATCATGGTGTTACTGACCCACTTGTTAGCATCATGGTGTTACTGACCCACTTGTTAGCATCATGGTGTTACTGACCCACTTGTTAGCATCATGGTGTTACTGACCCACTTGTTAGCATCATGGTGTTACTGACCCACTTGTTAGCATCATGGTGTTACTGACCCACTTGTTAGCATCATGGTGTTACTGACCCACTTGTTAGCATCATGGTGTTACTGACCCACTTGTTAGCATCATGGTGTTACTGACCCACTTGTTAGCATCATGGTGTTACTGACCCACTTGTTAGCATCATGGTGTTACTGACCCACTTGTTAGCATCATGGTGTTACTGACCCACTTGTTAGCATCATGGTGTTACTGACCCACTTGTTAGCATCATGGTGTTACTGACCTACTTGTTAGCTCAGGTTATAAAGTGATGTAAGCAGTTAAATCAGGCTGACAGTTTAGCTCATGTGTTTGTCCTCCCTGTTAAACTGACCATAGCTGACAACTGTATATGTAATTTGTATGAGCTTAAATTAGCTATTGAACTTTGTCTAAGTGGAAAATTTGTAAATGTTGTGGTTGGTTGATGTATGGTTCAGTGATCTGTATGACCAACTGTGGTATGGTGACTTGTGAGGCACAATCTTGAAATATTTCCTCTGACTCATCAACTAAAATACTAGGCTGCTGAAAGGTTTGTTCAAGCTCCCCCTTTACTTCAGCTTTAGAAATACGGTCTTGGATAGCTTGAATAGTCTGTTGTGATTGATATACTTGGGCACTCTGTCTTTGAAGGACTTGTTTCAGTGTTTTTTCCACAGTAATCTGTGAACTATGGGGTTGGCTCTTTTGAACGGTCTTCTTCGGTTGAACACTTTGCTTCTCAAGAACTTGCTCAAGTGCTTCCTTCACATCAACTTTTGATTGGTGGCGCTGTCTTCCCCGAATAGTCTGCCGTGGTTGGCGGACTCGGTTGCTTCGTTTATGAACTTGAAGTGATCGTTCAGTCATGAAATGTAAGTTGCACAGTCGGCCATCCTGAACAGTCTGTTGTGGTTGTCGAGTCTGAACATTTCGTTTTTGAAGAAAATGCTGAAGTGCTTCCCCAACAGTAACTTTGGGATTGTGGTGCTGACTTCCTCGACCAGTGTGCCGTAACCAATGACCTCGGACGCTACGTTTTGGAGGGACTTGCCGAACTCCCCTTTCCTCCGTTACTTTTGAGCTACGGCAATGTCTGCCTCGAGTAGACTGTCGTGGTTGACGTACTTTGACATTTTGTCCTTGGACGATTTGCTGGAGTACCTGTTGTACTGTAATATGTGAGCTGTGGTGTTGGTTGTCCTCATCATGCTGTTCAAGTTCTTCTTTCACTGTAACTATTGAGTCCAAATGTTTGTCATCTTCAACATTTTTCTGTGACTGATGATCTTGAACACAATGTCTTTGAAGAATTTGTTGAAGTGCATCTTCTACCTTAACATATGAGCCACAGTGATGATTGGGTTCAACTTTCTCCCGTTTCATTTCAACTTACAAATTGTTGTGTTGGCTTAACAGTAAAGGTGAGTGGCAGTTTAAGTTACAAGTGTTAATTGTTGATACTTGTTGATAACAAGTTGAAATGAAAGAGTATTACAGTATTACTGTACTGTAGCTTGTAAATTTGGGAGCTGTGTCCCTGCACAACTGACTGTAATAACCTTTTAAGTTGGTTTACTTTGGGAACTAGTTGTTGAATATTGACTTCACAGTTCTGTTGTAGGTTGACCTGGTGAGATGACTGTGGGTTATTTAATTCAAGGTTGTATTTCCCAGAATTTTGCTGCACAATTGAAGTTTATGAGTTGCACACCTGCAGTACTGTATTCTGGTTCATGTGCAATGAATGTGAATGAATAATGTATTGAACCTGTTTCCATCTAGTTGTGGATGTATGAGAAGGTGACTGCCAGGGTTGGTTTACTGACTTGACTGTTGACATGTAGTACTGTAGTTGGTTCACTTGTGGTCGGCTGAGTGACTTGTGATGATGTGTCCTTCTGTGTAAGACCTTCACTAAGGTTGTTCCACGTTCTTGATTCTATAACAAACTTGTCTCAGCCTGTCAAGGGTGATTAAAAGTTTACATTAATTGATTCCGTGCTTGTCAAAGATAAATATTAATAAATAGACTACTACAGATACAGTACGGTACAGCACAGTACAGTCAGCCCTTCATATACGCGGGTTTAGCATTCACGGATTCGCAAATACGCGGATTGCCCCGCCGGAGGAATATTCTGTACATTGAAGTGATTGAAGTACATTCAAATCTGGCGCCATTCAACTCGCGCGCGGCACCGAACACGGGACACCGCCCGCTCCCGCAACCTCACACACACACGCATAGCTCTCCCTCACTCAGTCAGTCTCGCTGTAACCACGCTTGTGTTGACTTCAGCATTGTAGTTGCAAAAATATTACATTTCCGTGAATGTATTATATCAACCACAGTATGAATAGAATATCACTAATATAAGAGTATTTTAACCGAAAACTACTAAAAAAACGAGTAACATATCTTGAACATCGGAAGGCTAGGTAAAGTCCTTTGTTTTCATGTAGTTTATCCTAATTTACATTGAAATGCATTACGTTTCAGCAAAACTACTATTTATTTCTGAGAATATGGAAATGTAATATTTTGCTGAAATGACGTACGTATTACAGTGGAAAGTGACGAAAGCAATGACTCGCTTTCTTTCGTTCAAAAGATGTTACCGTAATCGCTTTTCGAATGGTTTTCAGTTAAAAAACTGTTGTATTACAATAATATTCTATCCTAATTCACTTGTGATGCAACAGTTTTTTAACTGAAAACCATTCGAAAAGCGATTACGGTAACATCTTTTGAACGAAAGAAAGCGAAAGTCATTGTTTTCGTCACGATTTTATCCCACTTTCCACTGTAATACGTACGTCATTTCAGCAAAAATATTACATTTCCGTGAATGTAGTATATCAAGCACAGTATGAATAGAATATCATTGTAATATAACAGTATTTTAACCGAAAACTATTAAAAAAACAAGTAACATCTCTTGAACATTGGAAGGTTAGGTAAAGTCTTTTGTTTTCGTCATGTATTTTATCCTATTTTACATTGAAATACATCACGTTTCAGCAAAACTACTATTTATTTCTGAGAATATATTCATTCAGGCACAGTTTAGGTAAAATATACATGTGCTGTAACATTTTTTTAATTGAAAACGATTCGAAAAACACGTACCCTCTAGCCCTGTTCAAGGAGAAGACTGGGAGGAGCTGTTTGGTGCTTAAGACGATGACAAGGAAAATGATTTTGATGGATTTTAATGAAAATATTCAGAAAGACCCTGGCACTGTCAAGGAAAGTGGCTGCTGAAGGCTTCCGGGACATGGCAGAGGACAAGATTAGGGAGCTAATTGAAGAGCACGACACTGAGCTGACCGAGGAGGATCTACAGGAGTTAGTAGACTCAGGCAAGGAAGAGGAAGCGAAAGGGAAAGAGGATGAGGAAGAGCACCAAGAAATAACGTTGGAGAAGTTGGGGGAGATGACCAGGAATATTGAGGCACTGAAAAACCTGGCCTATAGTATGGACCCCTCCATGGTGCGTGCCCTGAAATTCATGCGAGGGATGGATGACGTTTTCGCTCCATACAAAAACATCATGGAAGAAATGAAAGAAAGAGACGACAACTCCCCATCACCATGTTCTTTGATCACCGAAGGAGAGATTTAACACCATCAATCACTGGCGGCAGTGAGGAAGCAGCTGAATCCACCGTCGCCCCCACTTCACCACCCGTTATGGAATTGAGTGACGATGAGCCCGATGACCCCCGTCCTGTCGCCAAGGATAGGTACTGTACAGTAAAGTGAAATTTTTATCTCTTTTTTTTTAATAGCTTTTCTTGCCATGTTTATTGTTTGTAAAAATGCACAGCACAGTACAGTTCAGTACTGTACATAGGAAGTGGAGGTACAGTTATTCACAAAACATTTGTGTTTGTTGTCGGCAGTAGTGACGGGGAGGAGGCAGTAGGGGTGGAGGAGGCAGAGGAGGTGGAGGAGGTGAGGAGGGAGCGAGTTGGGAGGAGTGGTGACCTTGGACGCGGGAGCAGGGATGAGTGGAGATGCCAGCCAGTACATTACGGGTGTATTAATTGTTTTTATAGCTATTTTTGCATTTCAATATTAAATATTGTACATTACGTTTCAACAAAACTACCATTTATTTCTGAGAACATGGAAATGTAATATTTTTGCTGAAATGATGCACATATTACAGTGGAAAGTGGGATAAAATTGTGACGAAAGCAATGACTCTCTTTCTTTCGTTCAAAAGATGTTACCGTAATCGCTTTTCGAATGGTTTTCAGTTGTGGGATTATAAGGCTAATGATAGGATAGAATATTATTGTAATACAGTACGAGTACAACAGTTTTTTAACTGAAAACCATTCGAAAAGCGATTACGGTAAAATCTTTTGAACAACGAAAGAAAGCGAAAGTCATTGTTTTCATAATTTTATCCCACTTTCCACTGTACAGTAATATGTGCGTCATTTCAGCCAAAATATTACATTTCCATATTTATTTCTGAGAATATATTCATTCAGTCACAGTTAAGGTAAAATACTGTATACTTGTGATGTAATATTTTAATGAAAATACGGTATCGTAGTTTTCTTTTGTATCAATTTTAATTAACAAAGATTGATGTTTCAAATGTAATGAACAAAAATTTATGTACAGTATCTATAAATAAACTTAACAAATGAATACTTTGTTTTACATCGTCCTGTGTATACCATACCATGGATTTGGCTACTTTGGGCTAGCTATGATGAAACAAGAGACTGCCCTGGCGACTGTACCGACACTCACAGCTGGTGGTGCGTTGGTGCATCGTTTCCATTGTTTACTGGTAGTTACTGGTAAATATTTTTCAACCTAACGAAACTATTACCCTTTTAGAGGTCGACCCCCAATTTTTTGCAAAATAATTTGGTCTTAAAAACTCAAACTACACACAAGTATATACGGTAAATAAGAACATGGCGGGCCAGGGGTTTTTTAGGTGGGGCGGCAGCAAAAGTACACGGATTTTTAACATTCACGGGTATCTCTGTTACCTAACCCCTGCGTATGTTAAGGGCCGACTGTACAGTACATTTACGACCATGGATGTCTGTGATGGGTGTCACTTAAATTATATGGAGCTGATTGAGAGTTTTTGAGAAAAAAACCAAGAAACTATAGCATTTTTTCGATCGCATGGTGTTCTTCCAACCTCAGTAAAGTGTACTAAGAGCAAGACTGAATGTAAATATCGCAAAGACCAACATATGTGGTGTTGTATAAGAATCTCAGAATCCAACGACGAACAAGAACCAGGCCAATAAGGTAAGAAGTAGGTGATTCCATCATATGGTTAGAGTCAGTTAGGTTAGGTTAGGTTAGGGTTTTTTTTTTAGGTAAATTTGCATTGTCACACCATTCTCTGTTAGAAAGTCAAAAATATATTTCTCTACTGTACATTATTTGTGTGTGTTTATACCGAATATGACCTTCATTTCTTACGGATATTAGCCGGGTTTTTTTATTGAATTTTTTTCGTTGGACGTTTTCCGAAAAAATCATACCAAAATACACCAAAAAACACTAGAAAAACAAAAACCTAACCTAACCTAACTGACTCTCACCATATGATGGAATCACCTATTTCTTACCTTATTGGCCTGGTTCTTGTTCGTCGTTGGATTCTGGGATTCTTACACAACGCCACATATGTTGGTCTTTGCGATATTTACATTCAGTCTTGCTCTTAGTACACTTTACTGAGGTTTCTTTATGAAGGAGACGTAGGAGACACGCAGTGTTGGAGGTGAGACAGGCGATAATGGAGGAAGGTTATTGGAAGAAAATAGAGAAAATTTTGGATAAGCTATCTCCGTTATTATACATTTCCGCCGGTAATGTAATAGATGAAAATTATCTTATAATTAGACGTCTTATTCGAATATGATAATAGATGAGTGGTAGGAATGAACGGTGTGTAAAAGCAATAATACCTTCTTTTTTTTCCTAGTGGTTTTTAGAGTATTTTTTATTCGCTTAGCCATTATTTTTTTCGGAAAACGTCCCACGAAAAAAAAAATAGATAAAAAAAAACGGCCAATTTCCGACGTAAATGAAGGTCATATTCGGTCTAAACACACAAATACACCAGAAAAATATATTTTTTACTTTCTAAAAGAGTGGGGTGCACTTATGCAAATTTACCTAGGTTAGATTGGGCTATATTTAGGGAAAAAAACTACTAAAATTTTACCGTTCCGATTGTCTTACTCGGTATCATCCAAACAACATCTGAATTTTGGTGTAATTCCATAAAGTGCTTCAGGTTGTAAGTACTCCAGCATTACTGTGGACCTTTTTACAAGCTAAGAAAGCATTTTCTTTTTATCTTCTAACGAGAAATTTCCTGTTACTGGTTAACTTGGATAATTGTAATTGAATAATATCCACTGTACAGATATATAATATACATAACAGTACTGTATATACAAACAATGTTAAGACAAAATAAGTAACATGTGGTACTTACTGGAGCCTACAGTATAAGCTGCCAAGACTACATGACATAACCATCAGGAAATAAATGTGAAGCAGGTAAAATATAATAATAATTTAGTCTAAAATATGACGCCTTTTAAGTCTTACTAAACGGCGAAAATGACAAAACATTGATAATCGTTAATATAGCCATTAATAGCAAACTCGCTCACCATTAATGTTCTGAGGATACACACACATGGTTGTTCAATTCAAGGTTTCGTGTATAACAACAGTAATAATGCAGCAATAAAACAGTTACAAGGACCCAACACAACTCCTTACAGTCTTACTCCGTGAAGGAGTCTGAATGTAGAAGGAGAACTCACTGCAGGGAGTCTGCCGAAGAAGGCAGGGAATCTAATACACAAGTAGGAGGATCCACTACACTGGCGGACACGTTCACCGCCAAGTAAACCAAAGACTATTACGGCCATATTATTAAACAACATCTTCCCTTGAAGAATATCTTTATGTCGAAAGCCGTATTTTTAAATGCGAAGAACATTTTAGTGCAGCGCACGAATGAGTGTGATGGCATGAAAACGAACTAATATCACCTAACTTTGATGAGGTAACTGTGAGCTGCTTTTCGTCACCTTTATTGTCAATACGATTAACGTACAAAGAAACACGTATTGGTAATTTTACAAATGTTTTTTTTTACATTATTGGTTTTACGGCCCATATTATGACAGTGCAGAAGCTGTTCCCTGTCATAGTACGACTGAGGTAAGAGATGTGCTGCCAGACACTGTGTTGTCCAAGGCAAGCTGGAGTCATCCCATCTTACTAACGCTAGTACTAATCTTTTAAGCACATTTACGGTAATTTATTAAACTTTTTAGCAGTTTTATAAGTGAGTTTCCGTCAGGAAAATATAAACTAGTGACGTTCTTGCCTAGAAATATTCCAATGGATAGAGGCAAATTTCACTGGCAGAAAATCATCTCAAAACTTTATGTTGCACATATTAATAAATTAAGTCCATTAAAGTTACTTAATGCAACTTTTTAGCAGTTTTATAAGTGAGTTTCTATCTGGAAAATATAAACGGGAAGTTTTTGCCTAAAAATATCAAAATGGGTAGTCAAATTTCACTGGGAGGCATTATGACAAGGATGGTAATATTACATACAAAAACACCTTTCATACAGTGGATCATGATATAATATGTGAAATACTGCAGGCTCTAATTTTTCATCACCAATTACATTATTTCGTTTTGGTAAACTTCCATTTGGCTGAATAAGGTGCATAATAAAACAAGTTCACTGGAAGCTGGAGTTTGATTATTTAATGAAAATGTGCCTTAAGCATATATGATACAATATTTTGGCTAATATAGAGGACTTCACAGCAGCTTCCCCCATCTCAGTAAAATTAAGTTCGCCCACGGCAGGTGATAATTTATGCTAGGTTAGGTTAACTTAACTAATACTCTAACACCTTTTCCAACATTTGCCATAAATACGACCGTCTCGCTATAAAACATATTGAAATTGCGGCATTTATAAATTTGTTTTCTCTGAAAACAATGATTTCTTTCCAGGTTGTCCTGTTCCTCCAAACCTACAAGTTCTATTAGCAATACGTTGCATGGCGACTGGAAGCCATCAAATAGCAATTGGAGACTGTTATGATGTGTCTCAAGCCTGTGTCAGTCTGTATCTTGAAAGTGTTTCGAGAGCAATAGCCAGCCTTAGTGAACAGTTTATAAAATTTCCTGCTGGCAATGATTTACTCAAAACAGTACAGGCCTTTTATAATATTGCTACAATGCCGGGAGTCATTGGATCTGTAGATTGTACTCATTTAGCAATTTTAAGGCCAACATGCAACAACCCTGAAGTCTTTCAATGTAGGAAGGGGTTCTTTTCAATTAATGTTCAGGCTATCTGTGGACCAGACTTATTATTTTATAATGTTTCTCGTTGGCCTGGTAGTGTACATGACAGCAGGATTTTTAAAATAGTCTAATTTGTGCCACACTTGAAGAAGGCTTGATGCCTGGACATCTCCTTGGTGACAGTGGTTATCCCTGCAGGAAGTATTTGTTGACTCCAGTATTAAATCCTCGTGATCAACATGAGGAGGCCTACAACAGAAGTCACATAACAACAAGAAATACCATTGAAAGAGTTTTTGGGGTTCTTAAGAGGCGGTTTGCCTATTTAGGATCAACTAGCGTATTAGGACAAAGCTCAACACCACCAAAGCTGTAATTGTTTCATCATTTGTGCTTCACAATATAGCCATAATGACTAGGGTCTTATTACCAGAAGAGGTAGGAGAAGAAGAAATGGATGCTTTGCATATAATCCCAAATATAGGTCAAATAAATATGCAAGGCAGAATTAAAAGGCAACAAGTCATCAGAGACCACTTTTGAATATTGTTTATACAGTGAATTACTTTTAGTTGTCCATCCTTTTAACTGAACAAAGCGGGTGATTTCTGTACGTTAAGGTCTCAGCCGTCCAGAGGCATAGTTGTGGGGTTATGAGATATTGGTTCACACTCAGGATGGGATGGAGAAAGGAAACTCACAATGTGCTCACTGTATGGTAACAAGCGTTGAGTAGAGAGAGTTGGTTGGTGAGGGTGCCCAAGGGAGGACACGCAGCTTGAGGGACGCCAAGGTTGCTGGCGGGAGCGGGAGCCACCAGGCTGGCGAGGAGGAGGAGGAGGTGTTGCTTGCTGGTGGCAGTGAGTAGAGAGAGGCTGGTCACAGCGGTGTCAGGTCTTATAAGGCAGGGGTAGGCGTGGGTAGATAGTTGACCCCCGCTCCGTAGGCAGTGCTGGAGGCGTAGGCTGGGGAATTCGAGAAGGTTCAGCTACTCAGCAACAAACGGTGCTTGTAGGGGAGGTTTTGGTTGTTTGCAATACCTATAGTTACATTCATGATATAAAGACAGGAGTTGATTTTTTAATGTGTTATCTATATACTGTACTTAAAATGAACCAATGAGACGATAATACCGAAAAAGTTAGTATTTGGTTATATTATGTAACTTGTGAGCTGGGAGCCAAATTAGAAGTCTCTACCTCCGATATAACTGAATTAAGTTAGTTGTCTCAGAGATTATAGTCATCTGCACCCTCTTTAATCTAACCTACTAAGCTACTATATATATATATATATATATATATATATATATATATATATATATATATATATATATGCAAGTAAATCACTGTAGGTGATCTAGGTATATGCTGATAACCACAAGGAAAAAGAAAACTTTTAGTGTAATTCACATCTTCAGGGTGAGTACAGAATGGATGTGAATTACAAATTATCTATATATATATATATATATATATATATATACAGTGGTCCCTCGGTTAACGAGCGCCTCAGTTAACGAGTTACCTTCCATAAGATTCTTAACTTCGGTGAACGAGCAATCCCTCGATTAACGAGTTTCTTACGAGCCGACCTCAACATGTTTTCGCTTGCATTTGGCGGTCCACCAGCTGTAGTATTAGTCCGCCATACAGTAATCGGTTCTAGGGCTTGTATTCCTTACCATTTTAGTAAATATCAAGAAGTTTATACTATTCAATAATTTTAAAAGTTTAATATTAATTTTTTTTAGTCATTTTAACAATTATTGAACATAATTGAAGGTAAGGAAACTAGTTTTATGCGCGCCGTCCTGCTCCAGGGCATCGGTTTGTGTCTGGGGCAACTTTGGGCCCGTAATGGCCTGAGGGACGTGGCCAACAAACAGCTCAAAGTGTCTGGGGGGAGGGGCTTATAGCCCCCCAAAACCCTCCAACTGGGTGGGTTCTTGCTCACCATGTTCCCCCGACGAAAACTTGGACCCCCTTTTGATATTCCTGGATCTACCCCTGAAACAGGTTGGCATTTGGCTGATTAACACCATCTGAGGAACTCTTTATTCATAAATATTAAACACAAAATACACTAGACGAGTGAAGAATGGCTAACACACGAGATGCCATAAACATTAAACCACGGGGCAGAGGCTCATTGGCTGGTGGCATCTCGAGGCTACGCTGATTAGCCGCTGGTGTGAGGGATGCTTCGACCCATTCCCCACTGTCTTACGCCCAATACAAATAGATTTCTACTACCTGAACGACGCTGGAATTTCATTAGGATAATGACGAGCAGCACCCACACCATTCTTTCGAGCAAAGCCAGGGATTCTGGGACCATAGAACACAGATTTTCTCAACCGTGGAGAGCTAGTCCCTGTCTTAGGCAATGCCTCATATACAATATGGTACACAATGTATCTCTAAGGAGGAATAGTAATACACAAAATAAAACCTCACTTTATTAAGTACCATACAGTAGTACAATATAAAATAATTAAGCTACATTTCTCTTTCCTATATTTTAATTGCCTGTTATTTCACATTCTTACATCACATACAAGCCACTGATTTCTGAAGTAATTTCAAATGTTAAACCTCAAGTGTCTCAGGACTATCAAAGACCCAAAGCAATTTATTATACATCTACACAACAATGACCATATGTGTAGACACTTCAGTAAAATAGTGACGCAAATCAGCCGATAACTCGCCTGGGACGTCGCCTGCCTAAGTAACCACAGTTTACAGGGGGATTAAGTGAGTCAACAACCATACACAAATAACTAATCATCAAGACTAAAATCACTGTCGTCATCATCATCATCATTTGGGATGGCTGGACCCTTGATCCCCGGAGGAATGAGAGACTTGTCCCTCAACATACCATGTCTGCAAGAGTCAACAGAAATGATTTAGTCACCCACAGTTATAAATAAAAATTAACTGAAAGCTTAAAATTAAGATTTTTAATAAACAACAGTACAGTATACCAGGGAGCATATCTGACACACAAACAAGGGAAGTTATTATAACATCAGTAAAGTACAGTTATTATAACATATATCAGTAAGGTAAAGTTATTATAACATATCGGATAAAGCAATACTGTACTGTATATTAACAGCAACCTGTAACCTAACTCATTCAGGAAACTGTAAAAATGAGAAACACAGATTATAGAAAATATTGTACTATACTGTACAAGTATAGAGAAAATAAAAAGTGGAGTCAATGAAATCCCAGTACCACTAACCAGCACCACTACCCTAAATGAGTTGAGATAGTAATTGCATCTCACATAACAGCCACTACACTACACAATACTTACTCAATAAGGAAAGATTCTACATCTGTGGCATAAAAATCATCACCAAACTCATCGGTGAGTCGTACAAAGTTTCCCATCATCTGTCCTGCCTTGTATATAAGAAGTGCTGGCAGTCCTGTAACTTTCTGTACAACAAAAGACAAATAACTTACAATCTTTAACTAGTTTATAAAATATCCATATAACACAATGCCATATATATATATATATATATATATATATATTACTGTACAAAATAACTGATAAACCTTCAGGTATGACAGGTTTAGGTACTACAGTACGTTGAAACAAATTAACTTATCAGATTATCATCATACTTTTACATCAATATAACACATAGTTAAAAGACTTTACAACCATAACCATGGTTTACAAATCTGCCATTTTAAATTTGAACCATAAACTGTTAACAAAATTAGCAGTGAACTTACAAAGTGGCTGCTGACACCTGCAGCAGAAGCTGGTAGTTTACAGAACTTAACATGAGGATACTCTTGTGCCAGACAGGCCAGGCACCCATTCATGGCATCACACCCCATGGCTTCCTGATGTGAAGAAATCATTTACAATAATGTTAAATTCTGTATAGTGTCAGAAACATGTATACACACTGTCTTACAGATTTTTGTAGAGACAACATGAGTGTTTGTATTGTACAGTATTACAACAGCAACTTTGTCCTCAGTTGTGGGACACTTCACACATCAACAGGAGAGGACAATGTTGGTGCTCTACAGTAATACAAGCAGTCACACAATTTTCATGACAACCAGCAAGCAGTGCATATACATTATTTGAGACAATGTGTCTTATACATTATTTGAGACAATGTGTCTTATACATTATTGGAGACAATGTGTCTTATCATAATATAATATACTGCACTGCATACAGTAGTTATTTGAATCTTTTCATTACATTTACAAGCAAGATCTCTGAGGTGGAAAATAACAACAAAAGGGAAAACATTGATCATAATTTTCTGTCTAGATGTAAAATTATTAGAGAAGCAAGTTTAAGTAATCAGGAAGGACTGACGGATGATAATGCAGTAATGTAGAACATAAGTGTAATGGAAATAATAATAAATTATGCAAAACAGAGACTGTGTTATGTTGAAGTGTTCCTGCATGATCCATCTATCCTACACTAGTGGATGAAGGTATACATTGGTACTGGATGAAACAAAAATAAAAGTATAGCCTTACAACAATAGAGCAATGACAGTACTTTACCTGATCATGGATGTGCACAATGACGGTCACTCCAGCTTCCTCTTTGTCAACAGCATCCAAAAATGTTTCTCCATTCTCAAGTGTAATGAGGCGACCAAACTGAGCTCTGATAAAGAAAAACTAGTTCCCTATACTGCATTTATAATCAATATGTTAAATAAATGTTAAAATCACTAATAATTTATATATTAAAAAAATGCAAAAATATTAAAGAGCATAACTTTGTTGATATTTACCCTACTGGAAACGAATGTAAACATATAACAGATTTCTGAATTGGCAGGCGAACCCATCAGCTGATGCTCACAACAAAATGTGATGTTCGTAAGGATTTCGTTAATAGAATTTTTGTTCGTTAACCGAATTGAAGATTCTTATGAAAGTAATTTGTTAACCGAACCGTTCGTTAACCGGGGACCACTGTACTGTTATAATACACACACACACTATATATACTGTACCTGTGCCCCTCTGTTCTGACATTTTTCACCAATGGCTTAATGCAAATTTTTTAAACCTTTAAGGTCAGCCTACAGTGTAATCATAGTTCTGTGGAATGTTCAGTACCTCAAAGACTGTCTTTGGTCCAGTTAACACAGTATTTCCACCTTTCTTTTACATTTAACACTTTACATTTCCTTTTGTCTCTCTTAAATTCAGGTCTATCACTTTGATGTCTGTTTGAGAGAATCATGAAAACAAAATAAAATCAATAATAAGCAGCAAGCACATAGCACACCCGGCTAAATGCTTGAGCCAGCACTGTCACAGCTCAAGGAGTTGGCATTTGCATCATACAAAGTGGGAATTTAGGATGACTTATTAACTCATCAGAGATCAAGTGTTGGATATTTTCTTGTAGAGAACAGACTGTATCTCCACTTTATACTGTATAATGGAAGTCAATGTACTAGAGAGAGTCATATAATTATTATAGATGTTGGCTTACTGTCTCATACTGTTTACAGTACATGTACCATTTTAAATACAGGTTTAAATTATTACTGTACTATATTTCACTTCTTAAGCTCATTTTCATCTTATTTTTATTGTGTACACCAATGTGATGCAGCATTTTGTTATATTTTAAGACATTTTAGGAATTTTTTCCCCTATAATGTACTGTACTGTACTATATCTCCACTTTTGTATCGGGAGACAATATGCATTGTTTTATGAAAAATTGACTAAGGAGAATATTTTAGGAATATCTGGTAACCCTCCCACCCATGTGTACCAGGTCTAGTTGTACAGTACAGTGCCCTGTATTTGTACATTATAAAACTCGTAGAAATTTACTTATTAGATGTAGTCACCATCATCTCCTCCATCCGCTTAGAGATGTACTGCCTCAGAAACTCTTCATCTATCAGGCCATCCACGTCCTCATTATCCTTCTGTTGCTCTTCTTTGTCTTTCTCATCATCCAGCTGAAACAGATGTGAGAAGTAAGTTAACATTATGTGCAGTAAAACTTTATAATTCAGAGAATAAAATTACAAGAAAAAATATTGTAACGGTAAGATTACATTCCTCTTATGCAAATAATATTAAGTGATACAGTAGTGAGTCGTGTATTTAGAACAGTACAGTAGTGTCATACTTTACTTGTCACCCCAACTGATTCATACTGTGTGGAATATCATTATTATTGTAAAATGGTGTGACTGTCATCTCAGTAGTTCAAGAACAGAACAGTACAGTACAGAGATGCTCATCTTTCAATACAAATAACCATTCGAAGAGTCAGTGACATAACTATAGTGTACTGTAATATTCAACCAATGAAATTAAAAATGGCTCCTATACAGCACAGTTCACTGTACTGTATAATAAGGCATTGGTGTGGCTGCCTCTGCACTCAACCACCTTCAATTCCCTAACTTGTAAAGTTAGGTACATTACACATCTATACCGGTAGCTGTGAGTGTGCTAGGATCAAACCAACACCCCTTACAACAAGAGGCAAGTGTTGTATCCACTCAGCCACGGCAGCCGTATTCAATCAATACTTAAATTAAAACATGAATACTGTACAGTACAATTATAATATTTTAAAAAAAGACATGTTGGTTGTGTGTGTTATCTGATACTGTACTGCAGAACACATGATTCAAACATCTTCACTACAAACTTTTATTGTTACACTACAATATAATGGTTCTTAATCTCAAAAAACCCTTAAGGCTGAAAGCTGCAAAACTGAAAACAGAATACAGTACAATAATAATAATAATAATCACAATCTTTAATTTAACACAAAAATGGATGTCTATTTCTGAAGTTGCCTTATAAACACATTTTTAGGATGAAACTGTGGCAAGGAGATAAGATGAACCTCCAGTTGCCTGTACAGTAGTCGACTGGCCAAAGAACACAAAATAACTTGTACATAAACAGAAGTTCCCAGGCTGAGGAGTGCTGGAGAAGCTGCTAGCTAAGTCCTAATAATAAATCCTTTGTAATTTTTCATTAAGTGAACTTGTAGAAAGAGACACTGGTCTTACATGGGACCTGCAGGAGAGTGCCAGCTTCTTGGCCAGCAAGATACGCTCTCGCTCCTGCTCAATTCTTTTTTCTGACTCTAGCTGCTTAAACCGCTGCCAGTCCTTCAGTACACCCTTTGGTCCAGTCTGTCAGTAATAATAACCATAATGTATATCAAGAGAAGTATTGTTCAACACACACATTAATCTATGGAGCTTAGGTCCACTAAGAACTCTTCATAAATGTAATACTGTAGACTAAAAGAAACTTGTACTGTTATTGACCTCCTGTTTATCTCCACTGCACATAAAAAAAAATTCTCAAGCACATTCTCCTCCACAAAGTTTACAGTAATAAAATTAGAATCCACATATTAAATACCATAAAATAAAACTTTTTCTTTCCAAACTCTCTCATGGTAACTGAATCTTACTTACATTAGTAGAAGCCCCTTCCCAACCTCTGATTTCAGGATGTTGTGGGAGTAGACTGGCCTCCTTCACTGTAGGGCTGGAGTCATTCTCCTTTCCCTCCTCCTCCTCCTCCTCTCCATCTTCATCTTCCGAACTACTGCAATAATATTGCAGTTTCTCACCTAACAAGCGGTCGTCTAGTGTTGCCATGGTCCCCTACAAACTCACACTGTAATAAACACAATAAATTTTACAGTATTTAGGGCAACGGGGAAGGACTTACTGTATTTTGCAGAGTAAAAGACGATGCATCATGGAAGACGCACCCTGATTTTGGAAATGTAATTCTAGGAAAAAACTTTTTATACTTGCTAACCGACACCAGTGAAACTGTTGCTTGATATACAGCCCTTTTGGCACAAGTACACACACCTCTTTGAATATCACCACTTAGAACTGCTTATCAGTTGTCATTTTCATCAATTTTTAATAAAAAATCTGTATGAGAAGTGGAAATCTTCAATACAGCACTCATTTTATACATCTGGTCACCTCCGCATCTAGCGGGCTGTAGAGTTTACATTCTCTCTCTTGATTTTGTTGGTATGACAATGACGAGAATTATTTTCCATTAGTAGAAGGTAAGCAAATGTAAACATGTATATCAATGTCTAAAGAAAAAAGTTTATTTAAAAAAAAAGAAGTAAAAAAGCAACTCGGTAAAAATCAGTTGAATTAAGATTTTTGGTAAGCAAACAACAGGTAGACAACCTTTCGCAATTCCTCAATAGATGGCGCTGCCGCACCACTGCCATTAGTAAACAAACCGCACAGCAGCAAGGGTTGTGTAGCTGCAGCCGTTTATTTATATTTTTTTACCTACTGAGTAAGTAAATACCTGTAATAGTATTTTTCGCAGTACAGTGACCCCTCGGTTAACGAACTCAATCCGTTCCAGCAGGTCGTTCGTTAACCGAAAAGTTCGTTAACCGAAACCATTGTTTCAATGGGTTTTTGGGTAATTGGTTCCAGCTCCCCGAAAATTTCCTAAATTCAACAAAAATGGTAGAAAAGTTCACTTACTTTGAGGTGTGTATGTAGAAGGCTCCTGGATGATGATGATGATGATGGGAATTACAATGGGGGTGGAGGAGAAGGAAGAAGAGAAGTCACCCCATGGCGCCATTTCACCCATAAAATTTTAGTTCTCTTGGTGTATTTCAAGATTATTTTCTTTAAATCAACACTGCACTGCATTATATATTATCAATTTGTAAAATATATTTCAAAATGACCAATAATTTGCTTGGAAACACAGAAAAAAGCGTTTAGTTGAAGAGAGTCTCAAGCAAGATGTTACCTCCAGTGAAAACAGAGAGAGACTAACGCCTGTTTGCTGTGTTAAGAGGCTGGATGCTGCACTATAAACTAGTCACTTTACCTTCAATTATGTTCAATAATTGTTAAAATGACTAAAAAATTGAATATTAAACTTTTAAAATTATTGAATAGTATAAACTTCTTGATATTTACTAAAATAGTTAGGAATTTAAGCCCTAGAACCGATTAATGTATTGGCGGACTGATACTAAAGCTGGTTGCCCGGCCAGTGCAAGCGAAAACATGTTGAGGTCGGTTCGTAAGAAATTCGTTAACCGAATTTTTGTTCGTTAACCGAATTGAAGATCCTTATGGAAGGCAGTTCGTTAACCGAGGCGTTCGTTAAACGAGGGGTCACTGTATATCAACAATATTAGTTAAATCAATTGTTTTCTGTATATCAACAATATTAGTTAAATCAATTGTTTTATAGTATAGAGAATACTTGTAATTGCTAAGTATAATGAGGTAACAGTCTTTGTAAGGGGCTGATCTCAGTTGACCCAAAGAAAACCTCTGCTACAGCCCATCAACTAGCGTCATGGAAGACGCATGGTAATTTTCAAGGTATATTTTTGTAATAAAAAGCGCGTCTTCTACGCCGCAAAATACAAAGCACATCAGCAGTCTAACCCTAAACATAGCGGCGATGCATCAACAAAAAATATCTTCATATAAAATACAGTACCAATAGAAAATTGCAATTCCTCCAAACTGTTTGTGATATTTGAAAGGTAAGAAATAAGTTTTATTCTATTTAAGTTTTTCCTAAAGTGGTTCATAATAATATGCAATGTTGTAAATTATTACAACATTAACATGAAGCTGTGAAATACAGTACCTAAACATAATTGGACAGTTTGAGGGGACTATACTCATTATCTATACTCTATCATGTTTTTATTTGTTTACAAAATTAATGTGATTTGCCACAACCAAAATTCAATAAAACCTTCTTTATTCTGTAATTTTATAATTTCTTTAAGTTTGTATACAGTGTAATGACCACAGTCGTACATGTTGGTTAACATAAATAATAAACGATTCATATTATGCTCAATAGCCCATAAAACATGTAGCTATGCCTTTATTATTGAGTCCCCCAGTTGAGGCGTCCATTTTCTTATCGCTTCAGGACGCCCAAGTCCTCCTTTTTCTCTGTTATATTTTCTTCGCTGAGACTCTGATATTCTTTAGTATCTCATCTCAAGATATGAAATTTGAAATAGAGAGAGAACACAAAAATATTATAGTGTATTAATATACAGCTCCTCCCCAACTTACAACGGGGTTAGGGACCCAAATCCAGGTCGTAAGTCGAAATGGTCGAAAGTCAAAATGGTCGTCAGCCGAAAATGCTTAAATAATACATAGAAAATATAAAATGGGTGTCCCTTTTTCTTCTCAGCACCACAAAACTCTTACTTTTAAGCTTGCCAGCCATTTTAAAGTGAATTACAAATGAAAATTTTGTCTGTGTACAGTACTGACGTTGGGACTCGAAAATACGTAATTTGACAAAATTTTGGTACGACTGAGGCAGGTTGTAAGTGCGGGTGGTCGTAAGTCGAGTAGGTCGTAAGTCGGGGAGTAGCTGTCTGTCTGATTACAGATGAAACATTCAAGATCCCTTGTGAGTGATGTTGAAAGCTTCAACTGTGTTTACTGTTAGTGAAAATTGTCAATAAGTTTTGAGTAGAGTTTGCAAGTAAAAGTGACAAAGCCTAATATCGCCCTTGGAGATGCCATGAGTTGCCAATTGATACTGAAGTCAAATCATTTTGATTCCCAATCATCAGAGAATCTGATGTTTGCATCAAAATTATTGTCAATTGTATATTTAGAAAGTCATTACTCTCCTGAAAATAATATGCCAGCCTGCTTATCTTCAAGATCTAACGTATACCCATAGAGGGCCCTTGTTTGTATTTCTACCGAGAACGTAAGAAAAACGTGGTCAGCTTGTGCATTTAATGTCCATTTCACTTTTGACTGGCAAGTGCAACCTCTGATTAGATTGTAAAAATAGACATAAGAAATTCACCTGATCCATGGCACTGATTTTCATAGCTAAATGTACAGCAACTGATGTAAATGAAAAATATGTAAATGTGTGAATTGCCCGTTTGGCATGACTGAGTTGCCAGGTAGCCTGTATATAAACGAATACGTGCCACTGTTTGTGAAGCTTCTTCATTGTCTCTCAGGTATGTGCACTAATGTCTTACGCCCCCCATATTAAGTCAGTTTAACTCGGTTGAAGTTTGTGAATATCAGTGTTCATGTTTTCACTTAGTGAAATTATCATGTGCCATGTAAAGAATTAACGTAACGTAAATATCGTCTGTGGCGCTGCCAGACGTTTGTGATCGAGTTTATTTTTTAAGACTGTTTGTGACGCTTCTTCATTGTCTCTCAGGCCCAGGGGAGTTGTACGTGAATACCCGCAGCTACCGGGGATCGGTAGCTGCTTTCAACCAAGATGTCTACCGAAGGATGTCTTTAATTCAGTGCGATTAAAACCAGGGAATAGCGCGCCTGGAAACCAAACGTGGGAGATGAGCTCTCGCCGTGTGTCAGAATGCAACCGACACTAATACCAAGCTTCATTTGTTGTGTAAAACACCAGCGATGTGAACCTGGTGTACTAATCTCGGTTATATGTGCCAAGTAATGTTCCTGGTCTCATGACTCACTGATTTCTTGAGTGGACGTCGCCAGGCAGTGAGGTATCAGGGCTTGGTCTCTACATTCCAACACCTCACCTGTGGTGTTCCCCAGGGGACCAAGATGGGACCACTGTGCTTCCTCATCCTGATCAACGACGCTCTATCGGACGCTCCTCACAGGTGGAAGTACGTGGATGACTGCACTGTCGGGGTTTCAGTGGACAACACCGCACCAGACTACTCATCGCTACAAGGCATCCCGGACAGGCTACAGGCATGGACTACGGAGAACAAGGTCACCATCAACCACACCAAAACCGTAGTCATGCACATCAATACCGCCACCACTCCAGTACAAGCCCCAGCAGTCACAGTGGGTGCCCATCCTCTCCAGCTGGTGGTCTGCCAAACTCCTGGGTGTTACTATAGACAACAAACTTGACTGGAAGGCTCATGTAAATAACACAGTCAAGGCAGCCTCGTACCGTCTCTACATGATACGACGACTTAGGTCACTTGGGACACCCACGCCAGAGCTGAGGACCATCTACAACGCCTTTATTCTCCCCAAACTTACATATGCGTCACCAGCCTGGTCGTCTTCTCTCAACATCACCCAACAACGTCAGCTAGAGAAGGTACAGAAAAGGGCCTGCAGAATAATGCTCGACGCAGAATACTCCGGCTACACCAACGCTCTCACCACCCTGGAAATGCCATCCCTCAGTGACCTCCACCACCAAGCACTGGAAAGGTTTGGCAGGGGACTACTGCACCATCCTCGTCATCGCCACCTTCTGCCACCTGCAGCCCCCCCACCCAACTCGCACAGTCCGCCACTACAACAAAATACAGCCCATAAGAGCCCGCACCGATAGATATAAGAACAGCATCATCCCATCTATTGTTAAAATAATAAACAACTCCTGATTTATGTACTGTACAGCCCTGTAAATGTATTCAATGCATATTATATCATTATGTCTAAATCAAATGTAAGTCTGTATATTTTCAGCCACCAGCTGCAACTCTATTAATAAACCGTTTATTATTATTATTATTATTATTATTATTATTATTATTATTATTATTATTATTATTATTATTATATGAATGGGGATAATTAGCAGAAATATGATCATCCCCAGTTGATTATTAAAGCCAGATATGTTGATATTACAAAGTATGAAATTTGGTTATGTGTGTTGTGAGTAGACTATCAATGTGTATACTCACCAATTGAGATCTGGTACATGTCCGTGTTGTTCATTAATCTCTGTTATTGTCAAGTGTGAAGAATAACCATCTTTATTGTTAAAGAAATAATATACAGTAATAGTTGTTTAATGTGTAACAAAGAATCGAAGATTTATTTTGTTACTTATAAAGTAAGACCTAGTGGTACATTTTGTCTGAGTGTGTTAATATTATCATCTTATTCACTTTTGATTTTAATAAATATTGAATAAGTAAAGTGAGAGTATCACCGCTCTATTCTTCCTAACACTTGCTTCTCAGAAAATACTATAACTCAGCTCGTGCCTAACACGCTACCTAACTCCTTAATGATATCAGTTATATTCTAATAAAAGCCTGGGTGGTGGCAGTCTACCCTTGTGAGTATAATAATTATTTAAATGGTTGCCCAGGTTAATCCATTGTATAGAATATAACTAAGCCATTGATATAAATTGAAAGTAAGAGGAAGATATAAGAAACAAATAATGACACTGAAAGAAAGAAACAATAAGTTAGAAAAGTAAAACATGGAAATGAAGTAATAATAAGAATAATGAAATGAAGACTAAGAAAAATATTTTAACTTTGAAAATATAATGATATAGATGTAATATATAATAACAGAAAAGAGAAATATAAAATATAAAATTAAATAAATATACAAAAGAAAAGATATCTCCTCTTACACAGATATAATAAGAAAATAATATAATAGAAAGAAATTAAAAAACAATTTAATCCCCCCCTACAACAGTAATCTGTTCAACACTGTCCAGTAGATGTATAAACTGAACAGCACATATATTCATTCATTCAGGATGGTAAAAATGGCAAAACTAATACAGTGTTGTGGAAACTTGTTCCTCCCAAACAACTTGTGCTTTTCATGAGGTAAGAAAGCATTCATCTTTTATAGAAATATTTCCACAAGTTGTTGGTTTATATGCACTATGTATTGTCTTCCTGTACAATACTCTATGTATCACCAAACCTTTTCCTTGGGGGGGTGATGACACTCATGTCATCATTTATCAGCTCACTAGCTGTTTGGTCTTTTTTTTATGAATTTTAAGAATTTTATTGTCTAATGTTAGTACAGGAAAAAGCTGTAGTACTGTACCTGTTGAAAACTTGCCATGTTTGGTAGTGTCATACTGGACAACACAACTGTCCTGGTGTTACAGTCTATCTGCTTCCCAAGTCAGCATGCTCTTACACCTTCCTCAGTTAGGTAAGTTTTTTATAATTATATAATTTGCATTTATGTGTATAACAATTTTTGTGGTCTTAACCTACTCTAACTTAACCTAACTTATTCTAACCAAACCAATCTAACCAATCTTAACTTGACCTATCCTATCCTAACATGACTTAAACTATCCTAACCAGACCCAACTTAATCCAATCTATCCTAGCCTAAGCTATCCTACCCAAACCTAATTGGTGGAGCTCTCAGACCACATATACAGACCACTACACTGGGCCAGGAACAACTCCAGGACTCACCAAGAGGATACAGCTACAGCCAACCACCAGTACAGTATACAGTTGCTGTCTACTATACCCGGCCTATGGCCCCCACTCTACAATGAATTTGACTCGATCTGTTTGAGAAACAATGTCCCTTCTGCAGAATTCTTGAAGACTTGCGTAGTTTAGCTGGAAAAAGTTACCTCCTGTATTACCGCATTAACAAAAGCTTAAAGTAGTAAGAGTAAGTGAAGCACGGCGAGAAATAACTCACCTACAAGGTTAATACAAAAGTTTCAGCTGTGTGGAAGCTTCATATCACTAAACTTGTTCCTCTGAAACTTATTGATCGTGTGTCACCGCCTCCTGCTCCCTCTCCCTCACCCCCCAGCCCCTCCCTCCTTCCCCTGTACTGCACGCACAGTATTAGGGCAAAAATTTCATAAATCATCCAGTAAAATAGTTTAATATTGTACAAGTAACTCTTAATATAGACAGTTTTTTAGATAAAGTTGGTTGTGGTATAGGTGTTGTGTCAAACTATTCCAAATTTACACATTTATACCACAGATGGCGCCACGCGTGTTAATAACAGGTTTAAATGTTGTAGTGAGTGATGAGAACAACTAACGTACAATACAATATGCTGTACTGTACTGTACTGTAGTAACTTATTAGTGAAGTAAATCATGTCTATACCAGACAAATCTTGGCAGCCGCCTTATGTTGTCTTAGAAACCTCGTGAGTGTTTCCACGTTTTATCTTTATCATTAACAATCAAAGGCTGCAAGTAATATTAATTGGAGACTAAATGATTGTCTAAATTGCAGACTGGGTATACTTTACTGTACTGTACAGTGTAAGTACATAAGAACACAAGAAAACAAGAGTCTGCAATAGGCCGGTTGGCCTGTGCATGGCGGCCCCTGTCGAGAGTTACTACCACTCTCTATCATCCATGAATCTATCTAGCCTCTAAAAACTTTCCAGAGTTCCAGCATTTACTACAAAGTTGCTAAGCTTGTTCCACTCGTCCACCACCCTATTTGTGAACCAGTTCCTTCCTATCTCCCTCCTAAATAAAGGGTATTATTTCACTCGTTACCACTGAACGAATTTCTGGAATTTTTTATTTACAATTGACACTTGCATTTCTCCAATGGCATTCGTGACCCAAATTACGTTTAAGCGAGATATTGAACATTTTATTATGTATGTTCGTACGTGGCAGTACACAGCCAGAACACCGACAGCGCGGTCTGACTAATTACTGTACACAAATGTAGCCAAATGTAGTCGCAATGAAGTCAAATGATGGTCCTACAAGTGTAAGTCGGGCTGTGAATCACTTCTCGATTATTATTTGGTGTCATAAAGTCACAAAAAATTGGTAAACTTAATTTAATCTGAGTTGTGTTAGGTTAGGTTAGGTACGGTACATGCACTCGATCTATTAATTCAGATTAAATTAAGTTTACCAAATTTTTGTGACATCGTGACTCCAAACACTAGTCGAGAAGTGATTGGCAGTCCGATATATTCTTGTAGGACCATTATTTGACTTCATTGTGGCTACATTTGGGTAATTAGTCGGACCCCCGACAGCGAGCGGTACACACCAAGGAATCTTGAGTAAATTGTACCTGAGTTCCAGATTCTTGAGGTTGTACAATACTGTACAGAGTAAATTAATGATGACTGACCCACTGCCAATTTTTTAGGAAAATTTGTAAAATGTCATTATTTCACTGTTTTATGAGAGACAATGTCGTAGTTCGTGCATATGTGTTAAAAAGTGGGTTTTTCTAAATTAAATGTAACCTAACCTTAGTTGGTAAGAAAAATAAGCAGCAGAAGCAGTGTAGAAAACCTCACTAACCTAACCAAACAAACCTAGCTAACCTTACCTGATTTCCTCGCCATGGGGCTCTGCCCCCTGGTATATTAAACAGAAAGAACTTACCATACATGGTGTAATTTTATGTTCTTTTATGTTCTTACAATATATTTCAGGAATAAAAAATATATTGCATATTTCAAGATTTTGTGGTAAAAAAACAAATTGATATCACACCTTAAAGCACAGTTTTATATCATATATTAGTTTTGTATTATGTAATAATGTGCTGTAATTTTTATATTGACCTTTGTATGCACGTAAAGACATTAGTTGTTGAGGTGTGGTATACTGCTAGATTCTGGGGTCACTAATTCTAAGGGGATAACTTAACTCTATTCTTAATTTTAAGGTCGCTGCCACTAGATCCCCCCCTGGACAGTATGTAGCTCGTTAGGTAGCGGGCAGAGTAAGCTAGGCATTGGGTTGAGTTTTTCATTGACCAAATCGATAGTGGGAAGAAGAGTGAAACATCACGCATGTCTTCCTCAGAAGAACAACTATAATTTTCATTACACTACGCCTTGATACATGTCTTACATCAATTGAGTACCATTAACATATTCATTCTTCATAACAATCACTGACCTCCTTACCTCAGTCATTCCTTCTTACCATAACACCAAACACATCAGACTGCACCACCTGTTAGAGTATAACATCACCTGTTACATTACAAAAAGAGTTGGCCTTCATCAGAAGAACAACTATTATTTTCATTACACTTCTCTTAATGAGCAGATGGGATACTTCCCAGGTAATCATACCAGTACTGGTTCCATGCCTGGCATTAGGAAGTCGCGCCATGTAGCGACCGCGAAACTTCTCAAGTACAGTATACTGTAATTTTCTCCTATCCTGGAGGGTGATATGTAGGGTATCCACAGATTTGCAGTGGAGGTGCATGACCACTGTGAGCAGACGCACCCCACATGGTGCGTTCCTCACAGTGGTGGTACTGGCTGACGCTGTGAACTCGTGGTACCTGTTTGGTGAGAAGTCAGGGCATCACTAAGGGCGACGCTTTGCGTCTCTCACTGAACTAGGCCTACAGTTTCCAATCTTTAATTTTCTTTTTGAATTTTTATGGTTCTCACATCTCCATTTTCCTATCTATTGTGACCTTATGCCTTATAATTATATATCTTAATCCTAAATTACAAACTAAAGTAAGGTTCTGCTTTGCTAGTTCCCTTGGGAAATTCATTGGGTTATAATATCAATGCGGCACGCCCGAGGCAGCCAAGGCCCCAACCCAAACAAAGCCTAGCGTCATATTTTCATGGCGTGGGTATACAAGATATTCTCTTTGAAGCATAGTTTCTGGATCGCTTCCAACACTTCACATAGGTCTGATACATTTATCCTTTTTCCAGATCATTGTTCTCATGTATTTTCATCTGATATCTGCGGTCGCTATGCTCACTAATCGTTCAGACGTAAATAGTATGACCTTCAAACATGATCTACACTTAGCCCTTATAGTACACTAGTCCATATCAATTGGACTTTCCCAACCATATTATAGCTCCTTGAGTTCTCCTTAACACTATGAGTACATACACTTAATATTATTTGACCGTACCTGGGTACAATTTGTATAGAACAAACATCAACATTCAGTAGGTGAGTTATCCTTTATCAACGTTTCCCGTTTTCTGAGATTCTACAAGCACGGTGGATTTGAATGTTATGTAGCTTAATATGAATTAAAGGGATTCTAAGGATGACAATGATGTGCGCAGTACAACAGTAGTAACATTATATCAACAATACAGGCCTTAAAACCTGTGGGCTTCACTTACTGTAGACCTGTACAGGGTAATACTGTATCATAGGAGCTGTACAGTGCTGTTGTGTCTGGTAACAGCTGACTGAAGCCTTATACTGTATCTAGGTGGATGATGCAGCACAAATGTCAACAGTGACATCATCAGCCACCTGGATATGGTAGACTTGTGGTGAAACTTTATACTTTTCAAGATAATTTTGAAGAAATGGTAATACAGTAAACCCTCGATAACTGGGCACATATGAGCTCTGGCCTTGCTGAGTTATCCCAAATTCTGACTTCTCGAGGCACTTCTCCCCTTTTACAAAAATGCAACAACAAAAAATTATCAACCCATATATGTGTACTACATGTAATTACTAAATGTAAAAAGTCACTTACCAGCACTGCAGGCGAAGAATGAAGCATCATGGTAGGTGATGCAGGTGGTCAGATTTGCCGAGATTTTCCCAGATAATTTTACACATCTCAGTATTTCCAGAGTTATACTAATACTGCACATTCTGAGACCATATCCATGCCGAGTTATATGAAATTTCGAGTTATCGAGTGTTTACTGTATATGTGTTACATGACTATATTGGCCTTCAGGTACAGCATCAATACATGGGAAACTTGTGGGTCACTTAGAAAACCTTTTTATTTCTCCCGTAGCTATATTTATCCCTATATAAAGTACAGCAATGATATATACCAGTTATGGAAGTCACTGTACTCAGTGTCTAGTTGTATTGTATCAGTAATATGTTGACAGGTTCTTGCGCACTAACATTAAAATAATGGGTTGCAGTATGGGCGAGGTCACCCTTGAGCTGTACTGGAAACACGCCCCCAACACTTGTCGAAATTTTGCAGAGTTGTCCCGGCGAGGATATTATAATGGCTGCAAGTTTCACCGAATTATTAGAGACTTTATGATACAAGGTAGAGTAACACACTGTAATTTATTTTGTCAGTATTTTTCCTCTTGATTATTTTATTTATGTATAAAACTTTTCCTGCTGCTATACTGTGTAATGTAAAATTATACCTGAATGAACATTAAAGACTAAACACATCCTTTCCTTAGTCAGTGTCATTCATTCTTACAGCTGTAGTATATATATAATGGTGTTCCTTGCCTCAACAAGATGTCCAAATACTTATACTGTTCACCAAGATTACAGTCAGAGCAGCATCACCAGTCACCACCAAGTCATACACTGCTGTACACTTTCACACCAGTATACACTGTGCTGTACACTTTCACCCCAGGATTGCTGTACACTTTATTTTGAGGTCTTGTCCACAGGTGGGGATCCAACAGGTACAGGAAGAGGAGGAGCATCAATATACGGCAAACACTTCAACGACGAGATCCACGACGAACTAAAACACACGGGGGCCGGCTTACTGTCCATGGCCAACGCAGGACCAAATACAAATGGCTCTCAGTTCTTTCTTACTCTGGCTCCTACACAGTGGCTGGATGGGAAGCATGCCATATTTGGTAAGTGGTGTAACTATGATACTGTGTTGTACTGTACCAGGAGTGTTTTAGTGTACTATAGGATAAAAGGAATACCAAGATTTGTTTGAAAATGTTGAGATAAGATGTGACAATTATCATAAATGTTAGGTGTAAGGTGAGGGTAAGTTACATTGATAAGTATAATATGGTTTAAGTGCTTTATATCAATGTTTTCTTTACTATGAGAAAGGTATATCAATTAAACATACTGTATTGTATATTAATTTTTACATAACACAGTCACTGACTAAATTTTGTTCTGTAATGTTGTTAATGTAGGTCGTGTGTCGGCTGGGATGCAGGTGGTGAAGAGGATGGGCCTGATTGAGACGGACAACAATGATCGACCTGTGGATCCGGTTAAGATAAAACGTGCCTATGTTAAAATGCATTAAACACTTTTTTGTCTTAATTCACATTTCATTATGGCCTCTGACACTAGTAGATAGTGAAAAAAAAAGATACAAATACGAATTCTTCATTGACGAGTCAGTACAGTATAGTACAGTACAGTACAGGTAACCATGATATACGATATTCCGATCGGCGATGTTCCGCTTTAACATTGGTCATAAATTAAGACCATCTCACTGTATACGATCAAAATAACTCCTTTAATGATGTCCATTGGTTGGATTTTTTTTTATCTAGTGCAAAGTCTGGGTTGTATATACTTACAGTACTCAAATTAATTGTTGTCTTACAAGGATTCCAGCAATGCATATACAAATTTTCTGCATTAAGTCGGTGACATTTTTTAAGGAAACAATATTTAACCCTATGTACGACGCTCTCTACCTTCACTTGTCACCCTACCAACGCACTACAGCCGTGTTTGGCTCTTTGTCGATCGTAAACCTGCCATCGCGTGGTTCCACAATTATTGGCCAGCATGTGGTTTTTTCTTATATAGTGAGAGGACAACACTAACACTTAGAATGACCTGTGTTATGCCGACTGTGAAGTGATATTTTCTTTGTTTTTGTGACTGTAAAGTGCATCGACTCTGTTGTTGTGAAAATGTGAGCAGTGTCGGCCACTATCACTGTTTTTGTTATCATCATTCGCTCTGTTTTTGTGACTGAAGTGAGCAGTGTAACTTTGAAAATGTCTGGGAAGGCCAAAACAACTGTCTCTCTGAGGTGAAGCTTGACATTGTTAAGCAGCATGAGACTCCCCAGAGGTTGTGTGGGAGTCAGAGTGAAGTCTCCACCTACAGGAGTCCCCTTAGCCTCGAAGGGAACATGTGATGATGACCAGGCTTATTTGTCACGAGGTGGTGAGTGTTGTTTAAATATTTTGTACTGATAGTAGCAGTAGAAATTGTTTTGTTGATGATACATGTGTGTTTAGGAACTGGCTGGGAATGCATCCCATTGAACCCAATGTTATAATGCTCCCTATCTATGATAATTCACCTAGCAATGAGTTTTTTAGCAACCTAACCCCTTCATATTTCGAGGTTTACCTGTACTCCATTTGCTCAACCATTTGGATGTCAAGTCTCTCACCATTCATTTTAATATTGGATTAAATCTGGTAATTTAAATCTTGATGTTATTTTGTGAGAATATAAACATGAAGTAATTCAGCCAATCCTCACACAGCATACTGTATAAAATTGATAAATTCATGAACATTTTTCATTATGTATTTCACTGATACTATACCCTGACTCATCTTTTCCTGTATACCAGGTAAGCAAATTCAAATAGTTGTGTCCAATCCACTTTGGACTGCACCTCTCCACTACAACCTGTGCCTCCCCAGGGCAGGACCAGACCCAGTCAAGGGAACCATCAAGTATACATATGGTATACAGTACAGTGAACCCTCACTTTACGCGGTTAATTCAACCCACAGGGTACCGCGGAAAGTGACAAAAAGCGTAAAGTGAACAACATAACATATGGGATTAATTGAAATAGAGACCGGGCCGACCCCCAAACTCCACTTTTTCAGACACAATACCTACGTTGTAGTAAAAATAACTTCTTAATTTTATGATGGTATGCACACACAATTAATAATTAAGAGAAATATCAATAATATTAGGTTTTTTAACACTTACATTAGTAGAAAAGATGGCTGGGCACACGGGGATGGGGGGGTTGGTTCCGAGGCAGAGGGCAGTTTATTGGCCCTCACCTGTATCACTTGTATCAATTGTATACTATCCACCACAGAGGCTTGCAGGGCCTCTTTGTCAAACCCCTCAAAGTCCATATCCTCACTATAATTATCACTATCACTGACTTAGGCCGGCTGTGGTGGGTGGCGGGTGAAGAACTCGGCAATGTTTTGATGACTGGGCGACCTTGTGCGCACCCTGCTCGCGCCGCTTACACAACATGGCGGATGGCGGGAGGTTTGGATCCAAAAATGGCGCGGCTCGCCAGCCGCTCTCCGCATAAAGGGGTACACGCACCGCGGAATGTGAGCATTCCGGTTTTGGCAGGGTACCGCGTAAACGTGGAAACGCGGAATGTGGGACCGCGTAAAGCGAGGGTTAACTGTATACATAAACATTTAATAACAAAATATATAATGTTTAATAGGATAGACTAGAGTAATACTGTATTAATACTGCACTGTATATATACTGTATTGTGCTACACACTCGTCATCATAATACTTGAAACCACAAAATTTAACACAATAAATCAAGGTTAGTTAACACAATGTAATCTTTAATCAGGATTAGTTTGCACAGTTAATATGAAGAAATCATTTACTGGCTGATGCTGTTTTATAATTCAAAATACAGTATCTACTAATTCCATCCATCTTGGATAAGCTTTGTTTATGTTTCTAAAAACAGTATATTTAACAAGGCTAGACCATTTTATCTGTCTTGTCTCACTGTAGAGTCCAGGTAACTTTTGAGATTCTTCACTTGACTGATGGAGCACTGGCATTCCCATGAACTGACTGGTAAGGTTGCACTGACTTGGAGCATAATATGATAATTATGCTGGGATAAAATAAAGGAGAGGTTTGCTTGAGTGTAGCTGTGAGGGAGTTTGGCAAGTCTGACTTACAAGCATTCTATTTCTGCTGCCAGCACTCCAGTTCTGTTTCAACACTCTGGTGATGGAAGATCACTGACCATTGATTCTTTGTACCTCCAAACCTTTTTCTTCCATTCCGAGTCATTTATCAATAAAGATCATGATGAGCTGCTGAGAAATAAGTGAGATGGAAATATTCTTTGAGGGAAACTTCTGGTAAGTTGAGCTATTAATCTGCCTGTAGGGGCATTAACTGAGGCAACAGTTTCTATGTATCAAGTGTCGCCAACTTGATCAGTATCACCACAACACTGTTTACCTCTGACATAGCTGTGCAGATGTCAATAGTGTGACCTTGAAGACTTACACTGAGAGGTTTTATGTAACCAAGTGCATTGTGACACAGTAAATGACATCGTAAATTCAAACTATGTAGTGTACGGTAATTGCAAGGAACTGATTTTCCTTTAAAAATTCACTTGAAGTTCAATGATTCTCTATCCTCAGTAATGTTTAATATTTTACAGTTTCTACAAGAGCTAAATAAAGTTCACCAAATACCTCAAAAGCATCTTGTTGACCAACCCAATAATGATTATGCTAATCAACCAAATTTAGCCTGGAACTCTGAAGATACATATTGACTATGTCGTCTTCAAGCAGTCACTGGAACTCAGGCGAATACTTTAAAAATATTCAGGTAAGGCCTCACCCACCTCCTGCTCCTTTATCCCTCCACATGTACAGTTCCATGTAGGTGAAGATGGTCATGTTATATCATCTTGTGGTAGTGTTCAGTACAGGGGTATTGTGAAGATGGTCATGTTATATCATCTTGTGGTAGTGTACAGTACAGGGGTGTTGTGTAGATGGTCATGTTATATCATCTTGTGGTAGTGTACAGTGCAGTTTTGTCAAATATCAGGTTAAAAGAAAACAACTTATCCCAGCTCCCAAGATTTAGCCTAACAGTTTTTAAAAAGTTAAATGTACCATCAAAATGCCAATAAAACAATCATATTTACTTTAAAATTTGTTTTCATGTGTTGAGGTAAATATTACATGACGAGGAATTCTTTACATGCCATTCGGGAAACAACTGCATCTAGAAGGCTGGTCACTCTCAACTCGGAATCAGTCACCTTGTACAGCTGTTTCACTCTGGCTTGGTTTGTCAGATTCAACACCTCTGTAACTGCTGTTAGCTGAAAATTATTTTATATGTAATTAAAATGCTCCCTACTTTAAAAGGTTTTAATCCCATAATATTGTTTCTGTAAGACAATACAGTACAGTACTACTAGTGTATTCTCCCCACGTGCATTCCCAAGTTGGTATTATTATCAGGTTTTTAGTAGCTTTTCATGCATTCAATCCTGCCATGATGCAGGCTGGCCAGACAGGTGCTCTTCCCCATATTCTTAGCATTCAGCAACAAGTGGCTTACCCTACCCCTTGGCAGGGTGCTAGTCCACTCAAAGGCTGTTTCACCACCAGCAACACAGCAGATAGTGTACAGTACTCATTTCACTGGTGAGTGTTTAAGGATTAGTGTACAAGGAGGGACCCAGTCCTCCACACCAGCTGGGACCCTTTGCTTGCAAAACTAATGCTCTACCACTGAGCTATGGAACTATGGAAGTGAAAAGGGTATATTAGAAAAACAAAATATTGAACTTTGAAATACCATTTTATTGCCAAAAGGAAAAGTCAAGTGACTTATGAAATTCCTTCCTACAGAACAACCCTGATAGATCTTGCCTTATCCAGGGTACTTACTCTATTCTGGGGCATGGCCACTATACTACACTTGCCAGTGTTAGGGTTGGTTAAACTGGTATTTGCCAGGTAAATCTGTGGTCAGTGTGGGTAAAACCTCAACCATGGTACAGCTTTGCTTTGAAAGGATTGTAAGGTCTGGCAAACCCTTAACCAATTTACATGTCATGGTCCCCTAAGTCATTAATTTGAGTCTCAAGGTAAATTTTCACTTTTTTTTTTTTTTGGCTGTTAAGTAAATCCACTAAAGAAGAGGATATATTCCAAGTCCCTTAAGTTTCCCTTGGCCATAAAATGGAATGTACAAGTACAATAAGGCACTATATTGGGTTTATGGCCTAAAATTTTTCAACGAGTGACTTGTAAGATTCCAGACCAACTGGAAAAGGGAAGGAGCTGGTCATATGTCACAATACCAACTTTCCAGCACAACTCACCATTAAGAGGGTGAAACCCATTGTATTATTCTGAACCAATATCAATTATGCAGAAACAAGACCAGTGTAGATTCAGTCAAAATAAATGTAACTTTACACTACACAACTGTGTAAAGGACAGTTTTCTTGTTCCAGAATATAGCCAGCCCCTTGGTAGATCTGGCTCTACAGCAGGTAATGTCACAGGTCATGTGATCAGTAACTAATAGGCCATAGCAATGTCCATACTGTAGCTACTGTTTGATAAAAATTTTGTTGGGCAACTGACAAAAGATTACAACTTAAAGACAATGTTAGTGTCATCGTCAACCAGTCAAAGTTTATACATTAATCATATAATAAGCAATTGTACAGTATTAAAGTTAACACAACAATTGTTTTAAAGTTAACATGTAACAAACTCTCTTAATAATGACCTGCACAACTTAACTCATTTTACTATAACAAAAATAAATAATAAATATTGACCTAAATGCTGCTGAAAGACAGACACAGTAGAGGGTTGGTCTAATCATTCATTAATGATATTCAACTACCGAATTGAACTGACCTCAAATGATGGTCTCCTTTATCAATCACAATTCAGGTGTTACTGTATATCTATTACTTTAGTTAATCAAGGAAGTACATGAACTGCTCAGTACAGTACTGTCAATGTCAGGCACACACACTAACAGTACAGTACACTAACTTACCTCTCCTCTTATCTGGCTCTTTAATTTCTTCACTTTTTCTCCAGATTCTTCATCCAGAACCACTGCCAGAATCTCTGTGTCACCATCACCTAGGCCAAAGTTCTTCAGTGAATCTGTAATCTGAAGATTCCCTCAAAGTTAATATTTACAACTATGATCATTATCTATTATACTGTAAAGCAGTACAGTATTGTACCAGAAATACACACTTGAAACAAACTATTCCTTCTAAACATTGGTTCCCAGAAAATAATACTTACTCACGTGCCTATACATCTACCACACTACCCATAAGCTTTCCATGAGTTATGTTATATTGTAACAAAAGTCTGGGTGGTGGCAGCCTACCCTTGTAAGTATAATCAGTGTTGTACTAAGAATAACATGGTTTCCCAGACTAACCCATGTATGAGAATATAAGTAAAAACAGAGTACAGTATATACTTCAGAAAGGTAAAGACATTGAAATTTAGAAAATATAATTTTATACCTGTATATGAAAAGAAATGAAAGACTTGGAAAGTATAAGCAAAGAAATATAAGACATTTATGTACATTGTGGAACTAAAGACCCAGCATAGAAATTATTAAATAAATACACCATTAAAGTTTAATATAAAAACATACATAACTAAGAAAAGAATACTAAATATGAATATAAGCCAGAATATAAGGTATATATATTAAATTAAGAATTGAAGAATAATAACAGAAAAGAATATCTGGATGGTAAAATATGAAGTAAAGAAACTCGGCCCATTACACAGTACAGCATGTATAATTCATATTTGGGAGGACAGGATAGATTTTTGGTCACCTACCATTAAGGATGAAAAAGGCTTATAAAAATCTAATACAATATTTACATTTTTTGTTGGGGACAAATTAAAAATGATTTCGGCAAAGACGGAACGAGTCACCATCTTCTTGGCAGCCAGAGACCGTACAGCTTTGTTTGCCGCCACTATTACTTGGAAGGTGTCCACGACCTGTAATAAATCACATGGTGGTACAGTATTAAGGTATAATGGTTCACCATAACACAGAATATAACACAGTACTTATATCTTATGTTATGCTGCTCTGCTCAGTACTCTACTTATATGAGAGCATAAGCTACTACCGGTACTTGTTTCACTAAGAGCATAAGCTACTACTGTCTCACTATGAGAGCATAAGCTACTACTGTCTCACTATGAGAGCATAAACTACTACTTGTTTCACTATGAGAGCATAAACTACCACTTATCTCAACATTAAGACAGAAATATCAACAAACAAAGGTTAAAACACCTGTACAGTATAAACTAGACATTTGTTCATTACTTACCATCGCAGGTTTAATTAGACTGGCCTCCACCTGGCCCTTCATTATTAACTGACGTACCTCAGCTGCATTCTCCACTTTACTGTACAGCAAGATGTGGCATCTACTGTGAGCTGCATCTTCTAGGCTGACTGTCACACTCATACTGTTGCTCTTCATCAACCTGTAAAAGTAAAGTGTGTAGCTACAGAGAGGGAATCCCCACATCTTTTGTCTTAATATACACCATATACTGTAGCATCATTTTTATATTAACAAATTACATTAAACAATCTTCAGACATATTAAGCAGATGCAACCAATAAAGCACAGGAAAAGAATAACACTTGCTCGACAATAACACAGCATTAAGCTCCCCCACCTGGGCTAAGTCAATGTAAGGTAACATGCAATGTTGGTGAGGTCATGATCAGAGTGGTAACATTGTTGCAGAATGATCACCCTTCCTAGACCTGCATGATTATATGGTTGCACAATTATCAGTGTGGCAAATAAGAACAAGTTGGAATGTAGCAGTACAGTACAATACCTGCTACTGTACAGTACTTTGGGAATTTTATCAATTTAGTGCAAACGAGATGCTCGCATTAGAAGGGGTGAAGCACCAAATAAAAAAAAGCTGAGAAAAAGTGTTAAAAGTTTTTTGAAGTTCAAACAACCAAAACTGTTTTTTTTTTTAAGCTAGAGGGTTAATTTTTTTATCGTGCAGCTCAATCCCTCTCCGAGCGAACTGTGAAAACTGGAAGTTAGTCCTGTGAATAGTTATTTATTTTATCGCGAGTTGAATGAGAATAACTACCCGTGATGTACAGTTGTTTGAGCTTCAAACCAACAAGAATTGTGCTTTTCTGCAAAAGTTTCTTATTATTGATGGCTAATACTGTAAAACAAGTTAATGATCACCAAAAACAGCACTTGTCTTACACCCACCCCCCATAACCCCCCCCCAAAAAAATAATAGAATAAATAATAATAATAATAAACTATTTTGCCTATCGGTATTCATCTTTCCGTCCCTATTATTAGCCAAAAATTTATAATATTGTTAAGTATAATAGTTTGTAATAATAAGGAAACACCCCCATAATTTACATACGAATACAAAGGCGGAGAAAGCTTGCATAATCTTTGGTGAAAACAGTACTAAGATAATAGTATTACAATCTTACTTTGTTTAGTTCCTTTGTTTTATTATCCCTGAAGATCACAGTAACTGGAAGTTACGTAAATCCTGAGGAGTGCGTATAACTTTAACGGCCTCGTCACAATCAATCACGTACTGGTCAAAGTCTTTCTCTGCACTCTCTAAACATCGCCACACAGATTCTTCATGAACTAAATCATTTATTATTGATGCTGGCAACAGTTCAGTTTCATTATAAGACTGACCAATACTGTATCATGGGCATTTTAAGGCCATGTGCACTTGATATTAGGAGATATTCGAGGTCAATAGTAATTACTTTTTACTACAGTAGGGTCATTATCTATCGCATGATAGGGTCCAACGATCTTCGCTATATGTATACTAAATCAAGATATATAATTATGTGTAATCAATGGGGAAAATAGGATTAGGCTCTGGAGGCCCAAAAAAGTGACTAAACTTGACTTAGCGATTTTATTTTCTTACTAATTAAGCAACAATGAACACTAGACTCAGGAACAATAGGCTGTTTCAATATCTATATCAAGGAACACCAGATTCGGGAACACTAGACTCAGCAGCTGACGCACCATCCTGGGAACACCAGACTCGGCAGCAGGTGCCACACTGCCACCCTCACTTGACGATCCCATTCCTACATAAACAAACACCCAAAATATTAGTTACAGTATGAAATCTTTTCCAGTAAGCTTTCCATTCTCTTCTCTTCTCTTCACTTTTCACGTCACTAGCAACCAATTTACATTCGTTTTAAAAATTTGAATCTGCACCAGACTCGACAGCTGATGCGCCATCCAGAGAACAGACGACACACTGCCACCCTCACTTAACAATCATAAACGAACAAACCAAAAATATTAGTTACAGTTTTAAATCATTTCCATTATCCTCACTTCACTTTTCACGTCACTAGCAACCCATTTACACTCACCTTAGAAGTCGTAATCTACAGCAGAGTCGGCTGCTTACTCGTCACTCACTCAGAAAAATTGAGCGGGTGAGCGTGAATGCGTGAGTGAGCAGCCACGGTGGCGCCTCTGGTGAGCAAATAACACATTTGTTTGCCATGGTGGTACATTTGAAATATTTCCTGCCCGATTTCCCTTGCGAAATAAAAAAAATTATCGCTATACGTATATAGGAAAATTTTGATAATTTTGCAAGCAACGATATAATTTATTTTAATATAGAGTGGCGATATATCCCAACCCCACTGTATACAAAAATGGCTGAGTACAAAAAAGAAAAAGTATTGGAATTTTCTGATTAAAAAGAGGGGTCTGGACCCCCAGGACCAATGGATAGGTAGTCTCTGTGTGTGTTCACAGGCATGAAATGTTCTTCGGATGTGATATGTCACGCAGGACAAAATCACAAACAACTAATAAAAAATTTCTGTAAATCTTCAATATAAGCTGTACAGTAATTATTAATTAAAGAAATAATTTATAATGCCTCAACCAAAATTGTTGACAAGTTGCTGCTACTTGTAATACTGTAGTTATATAGTACACCTGTACAGAATTGTACGACACATTTATGTTTTATCACTAACAATGGCGGTGACAGGACCACAGAATAGAACAGATCAAGAGTGAGTATGGTTATATATGTTGTGTTGTCAATAGTAAGAGACAATTGAGACCCTGCAATTGTGTGTAAATGAGGCAAAAAGACAGGTCATCAACCTGGGACTTGGTCACACATGGCAGCAGGGTCTACCATTAGACAACACATTTTGCTCCCAATATCTTCCCAGGCGGAAGTACCTCCCTGTTTGGTAGCTGTCTACTACCTGTGAAGTAAAAGTAAAAAGTAACATGTGTCCCAATGTGACAAAGAAACAGCATTAACGAAGATCAAATGTGAAAAGAACCTGGGTGTGTATATTGACAACGAACTGAAGTTCTCGAATAATTATGAGAAGGTGACAAATAACTACGCTAGTAGGTCTTATAAAAAGCTTGTTTACACACCTCGTAATGCTCTTCAAGAGCGAGATACTTCCCTGTCTGAAGTACTGTCAGTAATTATTTACAACTTCACAGCTGCTGATTTTTATAGAAAACGAATTTAAGAGCATCACAATTTCACTGTGTTTTATACAGTAGTGGACACTGTTGTAGTTCGGGAAAATGTGTTAAAAAGTGGTTATTTCTAAATTAAACCTAATCTAACCTTAGTTGATAAGAACACAAGTGGCAGAAGCATTGTTAGATGACCTCACCAACCTAACCAACGAAACCTACCTACCCTTACCTAACTTCCTAGCCGTGAGGCTCCACTCTCAAAACCCCCCCGGCATATTAACCCTTAAAGGTCTGACATCGTCCGACGCAGTAGGGGTCTGATGTCGTCTATCTAGTGCTTCATTTGTTAATTTTCCCGCATGAGTAGCGTGACTACTATTGTGGCAAAGCTCATCCCCCACAGCATCTTAAACAAAAAACAGTCCAACAGTTGTCACCAAAGAGGAAGGTTGTGCGTCTACCTCTCTGGATTATCCACTTAGAACTCCAGCTCCCAAGCCCTGCCACAGAGTGGTGAATGTACTGTAATAATAAGGAACCATGTGAAGGTGTTGTAAGAACATGGAGTGAGTTGGTAGTGCACCACCGTTCACTCCAAGATAGGGGGGTGCTGAGGTACCATGACTCACCAATAACCACAGGTGGTGAGTACAGTAATAATTATGTTAATTATGTTATTTCCTATTGACTAACATGTATGTCTAACATTTCATAAGACTAAAACATTCATTTTATGATTTTCATTTTTTAGCTTATTATTCAGTTTCTGAATGGAGACTTCCCAAGATACATCAGACCTTTAAGGGTTAATTAAACAGAAAGAACTTACTATATGGTGTAATTTAATGTTTTTTGTGGACGTGAGAGCAGCTGCTGCCCGATCATAAGGCTCATAAACATACAATAGCAACTGGCATCAACTGGAGATGCTTGACTGTGTGCTGCCGCATCATGCCAGCAAAGACAAAGTAGTGTGTGCCTATTCACCTAATTATTTACCAAACAAAGCAATTTCCCCCTCAAAAAATGATTAGGTACCACCTAATTGACCTCTGAAAATGGGTTTTTATAGTGTAAATCATCATGTTAAACACAAATACAGCATAACCTTCATTGCCGTTGGAAATGAGCAGTAGTTGAGACATTGAAAAAAGAAAAGTGGAAGGTCAAGCAATGTAAAAACACAAAAAAATATAACACCCTAACCTAACCTAACCCCCAGTGTGTAAGAAACTTACCTTAAGTAATAGATACAAGAGGATAGAGTGATGCAACTTGAATGAGGAAATGGTGTCTTGGTCAGTGTCCGCCTCTTACCACAGTACCATGCATGGTGATCTACACAGTACTGACACTCTGAAATACATCTTGGACACTTTACAGATGAAACAAGAACACCGTGAGCCCTAAAAATGTCAACGGCTGCTGCTTCACTGTCCAAAATGTGCTGAATAATGTGTCAGCCAGTCATTGTACAGTACATCATTCTCACACAGACGCCATCTTCCAACTGCCCGCAAATGGAGACTTGTGTTGATTAGCGCACAAGTATTACGTCACATCGGCACTCACGCTGAGTGGCACGCACGACTATGATGTCATATCAACTCAAGCTGATTGGCTGATTATTATAAAAGAAGTTAAAATAACAAGAAAACTATAAATTTCCAATGAAAACGTTAGAGAACAAATTATTTTTAATTTTTTTCTCTATCTCCCCATATATGACTCAATATTCACTGATGAAAAAGCAACAACAAAAACACGTCAGCTGTGAGGTCGTCTATATTAGCTGTGTTGTTGCCCCGTCTGGTCCCCGAGATATGCTAGAGACTGTCAGTTGATTGAAAACGTCCTAAGGAGGGCCACCAGATTGGTGCCTGCACTACAGCACCTCAGTCACCTAGAGATTAGAACACCTGCAGCTCCCTAGCTTATACTATAGCCAGACAAGGGCTAACTTAAAGTCTATGAACACCTCAGAGCTGATGGACGTCCGCCCCACTAGAGGTCACAGCTTAAGGTTGAAGAAGCCATGAGTTCAGAAAATTGTGAGGGCAAACGTTTTCAGAGTGAGAGTTGTGAACTGTTGGAACAATCTGCGGTAATTATGTAGGACTAACCCGTGGCCAAAATTGCTTGAAAATTATTAGAAAAAGCTGGATTTTCACTGTTATTTACAGCGGACACTGTTGTAGTTTGTGCAAATGTGTTAAAAAATGGATAATTTTAAAAGAAAAGTTACTTAAAATTTGTCGGTATGAAGAACAGACCTAACCAACTTCACCAAACAAACCTACCTAACCTTGCCTACTGGTAACTGCCTTATGGGGCTCTGCCTAACCCCCCCATATATTAAACAGAAAGAACTTACTATCATATGGTGAAATTTGAGGCATTTTCTGGACATAAAATGATACAGTGCATCGGCACTATGCAGCCCAGGCGGCAGAGTGATTTATTGTGATGGCGGGAAACATCGAGCCATGGAACTGAGGAAGTGATATTTTTATCCTCTTCACCACTGATCAGCTCATCTGAAAGCACAGGAATTCCTGCAGTGTGGACAGTCTCTATTTAAAGGAACAATGCCGTGGTCTCGTTGTCTTTATCCCTAGATTCACAAATTACATACATGTAAGACCAGCGACAACCTTCACACGACATGCTGAAAGGTATTATTTTTACTTTCGGGCATAGCGTGCCCCAAAGTTATAAACTACTGAAACATTTAGATCTCCCTATTCTGGCAGAAATGGATAATACAGTAATGACACAATTGAATTTAATTAAATTTACGTACTTTTCAGTGTTCGTCTATGTGAGGAGATGTTACCGTCGTGAATGCGAGCTAATTATGAGCGCGTTTACATCACGCACGCGTGACATGTTCCAGTCGTGAACAATGACATATCCATCTCATCACGCGAATTTTTTTCGACCAATCAAAATTTTATTTTTTTAAAGGGAGGAGCCAAGGTACAGATTTGAAGGATTTCAATTTCAATGCCCTGTGTAGCAATGGCCGTGGTAGAGGTTGGGTGTGAATCGTGATCCTACGATTATTTTAAGTTTATTGCCGAGTTTTACGAGAAAGACGATCAAGCTATCCAATTCCTACACAATCAGGTGTTCTCCCTACGTCTGTTGAGTGCCCGCACTGTAAATTGCCTTGTAAATTTAGAAGGAACTAGCATCAGAGGTTGACCCTGAATCTATCCCTGGTCCTTCCACTTCTAACTAAGGTATTGTACTTTCGGACATGGGGCGCCCCAAAGTTTAAAACTACTGAAACATTTAGATCTCATTATTTTGAGTCTTTTGAACCCCATTTATATTAGTTGGAAATGAATAGGATAGGATAGGTTAGGTTAGTTTAAGCTAAGCCTACCGGGAGTCCAGGGACAGAGCCCTCTGGCTAGGGGTTAGGTTAAAACCTCAATTTCCCAGGCTTTCCCCCACTATCAATTGGGGGGGGGCAAAAACTAGCAATTTCCGCCAAAAATGAAGGTCAGATTCGTTTAAAACACACCAAAATACAATGGAAAAACATATTGGTCAACCCCTAGGGACTCATGCCCGAAAGTAAAAATTTACCTGCTGAAAAACAAACTGCCCCGGGAGCAGTAAAAGCGACTCAGCTAAGCGAGGCGTCATTACCGCCTGGAAGACAAACTAGGGCGCACCTAAGTGCCTAATTATCTATGGTACAAAAAAATTCCACAATAAATGATTATCATATCAGAACTCACTGATGAAAAATAATGTAAGAAAATAAACAGTACTGAAAATAACTCGTCCACGGGTTACTCCTATATATTAACCCAATCTGCCAGTGTTGTGATAGCACCAAATGAGCTCATTCAAGATCAGACTTGACCAACACAGACACATTCTGGAGCCAGTACATGCCTAGTACCTGCTAACAGTGTGTAACAGAGAACCAGTACATATCCAGTACCTGCTAACAGCGTGTAACAGAGAACCAGTACATATCCAGTACCTGCTAACAGTGTGTAACAGAGAACCAGTACATATCCAGTACCTGCTAACAGTGTGTAACAGAGAACCAGTACATATCCAGTACCTGCTAACAGTGTAACAGAGAACCAGTACATATCCAGTACCTGCTAACAGTGTGTAACAGAGAACCAGTACATATCCAGTACCTGCTAACAGTGTGTAACAGAGAACCAGTACATATCCAGTACCTGCTAACAGTGTGTAACAGAGAACCAGTACATATCCAGTACCTGCTAACAGTGTGTAACAGAGAACCAGTACATATCCAGTACCTGCTAACAGTGTGTAACAGAGAACCAGTACATATCAGTACCTGCTAACAGTGTGTAACAGAGAACCAGTACATATCCAGTACCTGCTAACAGTGTAACAGAGAACCAGTACATAGTAAACAGTGTGTAACAGAGAACCAGTACATATCAGTACCTGCTAACAGTGTGTGTACATATCCAGTACAGTGTGTAACAGAGAACCAGTACATATCCAGTACCTGCTAACAGTGTGAAACAGAGAACCAGTACATATCCAGTACCTGCTAACAGTGTGTAACAGAGAACCAGTACATATCCAGTACCTGCTAACAGTGTGTAACAGAGAACCAGTACATATCCAGTACCTGCTAACAGTGTAACAGAGAACCAGTACATATCCAGTACCTGCTAACAGTGTAACAGAGAACCAGTACATATCCAGTACCTGCTAACAGTGTAACAGAGAACCAGTACATATCCAGTACCTGCTAACAGTGTAACAGAGAACCAGTACATATCCAGTACCTGCTAACAGTGTAACAGAAACGTAAATCCACCGCCCAAATAACTAACATGCATTCCATTATGTACCTGTATACCTGCACCATGAAGGTGTATGAACGTGTTACAGTACATTACCTCACAGCACAGCAGCCACCCTCGCCTCTTTGTTTACTTTTGACTCATATTCTAAACAAAACTTTTTTATTCACTATCATTTCAATTTATCTTTAAAGCCGATTTGGAACAGTTTGTAGCCTTCAGCCTTTGTTGACTTAGAAAATAAATATATAAAAATACTAGAAATGACGACTTAGCATAAAATACACAATATATATGTTTGGGGTGAAAATAATAACTTAATTAAAAAATAATTAATTTTTGAGAAGGGGAAAATAGAGGAAGGTGTATCATAATACGCATATTCTTAATAGTTCAGTATCAGACTGATAATAATTTTAACCTTACACTTCAGTAGTAACACTGAACAACAATGTTCCCATACCCGGGCCGCAGTATAGTGAGCCTACTACTATGCTTGTTGCTTTTTAATTTTAAGTAATGCTCATATAAATGTCTGAACTCGTGGCTTCTTCAACCTTAAGCTGTGACCTCTAGTGGGGCGGACGTCAGCTCTTTAAGTTAGCCCTTGTCTGGCTATAGTATAAGCTAGGCAGCTGCAGGTGTTCTTATCTCTAGGTGACTGAGGTGCTGTAGTGCAGGCACCAGTCTGGTGGCCCTCCTTTGGAAGTTTTCAATCAACTGACAGTCTCTAGCATATCTCGGGGACCAGACGGGGCAACAGACAACAGTACTGTACTGAGTGTACTCTACATGATCACGGTGGTGGATGAAGAACGTTAGCAAGTCAGCTGGTGGTGGTGAACGTCAACACAGTCAGCTAGTGCTGAAGAACGTCGTCAACAAGCGTCAGACTCTCAGTCAGTTCAGTAGTAGGACAATGATGGGGTCGCCTCAGCCGTCCTTCATCTTCCCGCTGGTGATTGTGAGCTTCACGGCCGTCTCCTACGTGTGCCTGGTGGTGGTGTACACGGTGCAGCCCACGCCCTTCATAGACGAGGTTTTCCACATACCTCAGGCCCAGAAGTACTGTGACAGCAAATTCCAAGAGGTACTGTACCGTGCGTCTCTCTACTGCACTGTACCTTTTTGGCCTTTGTGTGTTAAAATAGGTCTACCATGGTTTATATCACAAACACTGAACAATAAAGGTCATAGGGAAGTATTAAAGGACATACAACAGCTAGTAAGATGTAATGCTAAATAACGAAAACAACTACAAAATAATACAAATTAAGATTTTGAGGTTTTTCATAATTTCAGACATTGCTGAATAATTTATTATTAAATTTTATCTTAGCTCATACATATGAACTTATCATCCTTATGGCTATTTTTACTAGCATCAGTTTTCACTTGATGGCTTCAGCACTCTTATTTGGAATTTTAAGATAGGATCTTTACTCATGCTGATTTAACCCATTCAGTCTGATGGAATATTTATAAGAATTTTTTTTACCTCTTAAGTACACGATGGTGTTGTCCCTACCAATGAATAACCCACTGACTTACCTTCCTAACCTAACCATACCTAATCTACATTCCCTAACTAAACTGAACATACATAACTTAACAGAATATGATAATAATATTTTAGTACTGTAATAATACTACTAATAATATATACAGTACTGTACCTCCATCCAAGGATAGGTTGGTCAGATCAGCTTGAAGGCTCATCTTACTGTATATACTGTATAATAAATCATAGTACAGTACTGTACTGTACAGTATATGGTAAAATTTTACAGGTGGCCACCCTGCCATATTAAACAGAAAGTACTGTACATGTACTTATTTTGTGAGCTGGTACTAATGAAATCAACTTTGTTGGAACATCATACTTTTACTTTTTACTTTTATCCTCTTCACCCCCGATTGGCTCGTTAGCCGCTTGGGCAATCGGTCACGTCTCTGTCACACAATGTTGACAAGTACTGGGCATGTACTGGCTCCTGAATGTACCTGAACCCGCTCCAGTGTTGGTCAAGTCTTGTCTTGAAAGAGCTTGCACTCGGTGCCGTCACAACACTCTGGTAGATTGTTCCAAGAGTTCACAACTCTCACTCCAAAAAAGCTTGCCCTCACAGTTTTCTGGACTTGCAGCTTCTTTAACCTTGAGCTGTGATCCCCTGTAGGGGCAAGCGTCCGCCAGCTCTAGGTAAGGGCACTCGACTGAGTAGTGCCCCTTGAGATGTTTATACACCTCAATTAGGTCACCCCTTATCCGTTTTTTGTGGACGTGAGAACACGCTCGGATTGAGCGTGTCAGTTGTAAACAACGAAATCACATGCAGTGACTCAGCAGATTTTTCAGAAGATTATTTTTGGTATATAATCAAAATTGTCAAATACTGTACTACTGTATCTCACTCACATGTAAATTGTGATAGAAATACTGTAAGGAAAATTGATAGAGAGATGAGTGAGATCTATCTATAGCAATTATTCATTTGTAAACCTCTTTTGAGAGTCCACTTGTAAAATAATACCCAGTACAGCATAATGTAATAATAATAATAATAATAATAATAATAACAACAACAACAACTTTGATTGTTTCCATGCATGGAAAGGACAAGGAAAATTATGCTGCTGTTGTGAAGCTGCTGCTGCCACATTGATACTGTGCCCGGTACTATACTATACAGTATTACAAGTACAGTAAGTCCTCGCTTAATGTCGGGGTTACGTTCCTAAAAACGCAACGTTATACGAAACAATGTTAAGCGGATCAATTTTCCCCATAAGAAATAGATAAAACATGGGAGTTACGTTCCTGAGCCTCCCTTTGCCCCATGAAATACATTACATATACAGAAAATCCTTGTCATTTCTATAGAAAATAATGCATACATATACAACTACTAAGTTTGTATTGGTACTCACCGATTGGCGGAGGTGGTAGAGCGAGTGTGTGGTGGGTAGTGAAGTGGAGGAAGTGGATGGCAGGAGGGGAGGAGTGTGGCGGGAGCGGAAGAGGGCGGGAGTGGACGAGTATGGCTGGAGAGGAGGAGGGTGGGAGCAGAGGAGGGCAGTGAGTCATTGAGACTCTGCACCACGCCGAGAGAGCATAGCGCGGCCAGATGAGGTGATGCACCGTAAAATGTAGTCTGACGACGCAAAACAACGTAGTATCGGATCATCGGGACATTAAACAGATTTTGGGTCTCTAAAGTTTAGCGACGTAGTACTGAAACAACGTTAAGCGTGGACTTACTGAACTTTAAACATGACTAATATTAAACTGTTGACAAGTGCTTCTTATTAACCAACTCAGTGCAGTACTAAACAATTGTATGCTACCTAATGACTTGTAGTGTTAATGAAATGTTTCTGCTTACAATAAAACACAAATATGGAGTTGTCATTATTGTCAGGTGGATGGGATGGAACATCTTTATTTATGAAAAAAAAATTGGGGAAAAAAATATAGAAAAAGTGGCATCCCTCCAGCCAAATTGGGGTTATTATTTACATAAAAAATAAGTTTTCTTCTATAGAAACTTATAACTAGTTAGGTAGTTAACCCGAACAACTGTCATTAACAGTTACCAAAAATGGATCCTACCAAACCTTTGACGGAAGATATGGAGATGATACAAACCTGACTATTTACTATCTTGAAGGGAAGAAAATAAAGTCTAAAGGAAACAAATAAACAAAGTACAGTACAGCAGTGCCCACAGCCTCAGGGAGTACAGCTATCATGTAGACTTCACCAGCTTGGTACAATTACAGTGTGTGTGTGTAACCTTACCATTTATCTGTCTAGCTACTGAAATTATTTAATCCAGTCATGGCTACAACATGGGATCTCAGGTGTACTGTATACACTTTTTCACTACCACTCACTTTCATTTTTGTGTTAATATAAATAAATGTGTATTGTCTTGTTCAACAGTGGGACCCCAAGATCACAACACTGCCAGGCCTCTATTTGTTTTCTATCGGTCTCAATGGTCCAGTGTCGTGGGTGTTGGGGCGGCAGCTGTGTGATGTGTTCTCTCTACGCATCACTAACCTGGTGGCTGCAGCCTTCATGTTGCTCACCATACACAAGCTGCTCATCCACCTGCACGGAGACAGGGTAGGTCATGGAGACAGATAGGGTAGGTCATGGAGACAGATAGGGTAGGTCATGGAGACAGATAGGGTAGGTCATGGAGACAGATAGGGTAGGTCATGGAGACAGATAGGGTAGGTTAAGGAGACAGACAGGGTAGGTTAAGGAGACAGACAGGGTAGGTTAAGGAGACAGACAGGGTGGGTTAAGGAGGCAGACAGGGTAGGTTAAGGAGGCAGACAGGGTAGGTTAAGGAGGCAGACAGGGTAGGTTAAGGAGGCAGACAGGGTAGGTCTTCCACAGGTAAAAGCTCCATGTTTTAGCTACTACTCTACAGTATTGTGATCTCTGTACTCCACAAAGTTGTTTTAAATACTGTACTTTTTCTTTTCGTGGTGATACAGAAATAATGTATTGTGATGTTGGTTACAGATGGACAATTGGAAGGTGATGTTGAGTGGGTTGAACCTGTCCCTACTTCCTGTACTCTACTGGTTCACCTTCCTGTACTATACAGACGTGTTGTCTACCCTGGTGGTGCTGGTGATGATCCTCCTGCACCTTCACCATGCTCCCACCACTGCTGCTGCCATGGGTCTGTTCACCTCCTCATTGAGTGTGCCTCTCACCATCAAGTACTGTACTGTAATATTAATGGTCATCTTAAAAAATGCAAAATGTTTTGTTCGGTATTGTAGAATCCATAATCACGTTAATTGTCGTGTTTCGTGTATGTACTGTACGGCATTTGTGAGATATTGTGTTTTTGTGCTTTAGAAGTTATTAGGTGGAGTGTATAAGAATATGTTGTTGGACAGGTGTGGTGGCGGTGATGATGCGGCAGACCAACATCATATGGGTTGGATTCTTGTGTGTGTTGATGGCCGTTGATGTGCTGGGAGTGAGGGTGCTCAAAGCTCCAGTAAACACTCTGTCTGATACAAAGGTAAACAAATAATGTTAATTTCACTCAAGAGAAACGATGTGTGTCAAGTGAATGTATGTGTGAACTTGTGGAGGCGTAGCTGGCTTGCCACTCCCACCCCAATGTGACGTCACAGCCTACCAGCACACACTCACATCTTGGAGTCAGCTGGGTGACTGCCCGGCTGATCTGTGTTGTGTCACCCAGATGATGGTTTGAGTGTGGAAGGAGCTGGGTTTTTTTTGTACATAATATATGTGCTATTGAATTTTATGATATGCTATTTATGAATTTTATTATTTATCATGGTAACTTGTTTTTATTTTTCACATATGCAATTTGATATTTGTTAGAATTAGGCTCACCTTTTGCTTACTAAGCTGTTTAACTCTGAACCACATCAACTGTAGAAGATTGGTGTTAATAAATAAATTATTTAACTTCAACACCGTTTATAACAAACTTGTTTATTATTAATATTGAGTACAGTACAGACTGTACTCAGTGTTCACCATCCTGCCATTTTAACCTGTTGTTCGCCCTCTGTACTTTGGTTTTATTCCTCGTTTAGCAATAATTTTGCTTAACTTTATGTTTTCCAGGAATACAACCCCATTTTTAAACAAGGGAAACCTGTACTGTATAGTCAGCTAAGGCCTAGTATTGATATGATAGTAATGATTTATGTATAATATGAATAAACAATGTACAGTACTGTTGGGGGTACAGTATGAGATATACAGTATGGCAGATAACAATAATAATTATAATTTAATATTGGAGGCAGCAGGTACAGTATAAATTAAGTAGAATTTTGTTGCATTGCTAAATATAAGATGTTAGTAACCTTCTCTTAATCTGTGTTTTTTTACAGGCTTTAATGAAGAAAATAAAGAAAGCAGCTGCAAAACCTTATCGCTTGGCAGAGGTTTTGGCAGATGTTGTGGTCGACTGCTTCAGCTATGGGATAGTGCTGGCCGGCTTCCTCCTCTTTGTCATGTACAACGGCAGCGTGGTGGTGGGCGACCGCTCTGCTCACGAAGCCACCGTGCACCTCCCACAGCTCGGTTATTTCTGCCTCTTCTTTTTAGTTTTCTCTCTGCCGTACACCCCTAGTCACGTCCGCCCCTTCATAAAGCTGTGTCGTCGCCATCTAGCGTTTGCCGTGGCCGTGTTGGTGGTTGGAGTGATGGTGGTTCACTCCAACACACTGGTTCACCCATACCTCTTGGCCGACAACAGACACTTGACTTTCTACTTATGGAATAAATTATATGGAAGGTTCTCGTTTGTCAGGTATCTCATGGTCCCAGTTTACATGTTTGGTGCGTACATGGTCCATGTATTTATTCAAAATCGTAGTTTTGTTTTCAAGGCCCTGTTTTTGGCGTGTCTGGTCGCATCAGTGGTGCCACACAAGTTACTTGAGTTGAGATACTTCATCGTCCCCTTTCTCCTGGCACGGATGCAGTATATATCCAGAAACTGGTGGCAACTGTGGATAGAGACCCTCTACTTCCTGCTCATAAATTCATTAACTCTTTATTTATTTGTCAGTAAGACCTTTGTGTGGGAAGACCTTCCAGAGCTGCAGAGGATCATTTGGTAGTGAGTCACTCACACTCTTATTATTACTGGTTTATTAATTACACTATTGTACAACTGGTTTATTATAATTATTATTATTAATGGTGATTTCTTTGTAAGTTGAGATTTATTCTTAGTAATTTTCTGAAGTATTTATCATTAGTTTCAAGATGTTTGTATTGCAGTACTGGAATAATATTTTTTTTATTTATTATTTCATTATGTTGGGTGAAGAAAATGTTGTGTAGGTGCAAATGGTTCAGAAATAAGTTACCTTTTATTATAGTAGAATCTCGATAAATCGGACTAATTGGGTCAAAGCCCAGTCCGAAAAATGCGAATATGTGGGGGGTGGAGATAACACTGCTTATCTGAACTGTTTAAAGAAAATCAGTTGATATTATGTTATTACTGCACTTCAACAATAAGATCTGTAAGTGTATAACAAGGTTATTAAAAATATTACATAAACAACAACAAAAAATTTAAACAACTCTCTGGGTTGAAAGTCAGACATGTTAGGTTGTCAACAACTGTTTTCACCAAGATGATTGTTATTTACTGTAGTGTTATATTTAAGTAACAACAGAATTTGTGTTATGAATAAAGAAAAAATTGTCTACTGTACAGTACTATAAAGATAAAAATAAGAACAAATAAGTGTAAGAGTATATTGTATGTGGGAGCAGCTGGCACAGGGAGAAGGGGGGTTAGCATGGCTCCCTCCCCCAAGATTCCTTTAACACTTTTTTATGCAATTTCACCATAATTCTTATATAATTTAGGGTCATTTGGTGCCAGGTTGATAAAATATTATTCTAAAGGAATAAGCTTTCCTAAAAAAAGAATCCCATACTGAACCGAGTCATTTGTTTACAAAGAGCAAATAGCTGATTGGCTTACCACAATGTCTGTCTTCAACACTTAGTAAAATAGTACAGTACAGTACAGTCGTGTATTTATCATCACTTAATAAAGACTATTGCAGTGTATATATCACCATTTATTAAGTACTGTTGTGTGTTTTTCATCACTTAATAAGTAATATTGTAGTGTACAGTATTATGGATCTGCATATACCCTGGTTTATCCATTAATCATTTGTCTAAGTGTACAAGTAGCCAAATTGAGTCATCATATAACCCTCAAAGGTAGTAAATAATGTTTTTAAAAAGGTATCTTCATATCAAATTATACAGTGTGTTATAGTGACCCCTGTTATAAGCTGGTTTGCTGGAAGCTCTCACAGGAACTCATCTTGAGTAAACAACCTTCTGATACAGCTTATCCTTTTATTTTCAAGTCATATTACAAATCACATACAGTAGTGTATTTTTCTCTATAACTGAAGACGAGTGATCGCGGGCACGTTCATGCCCTTGTGAGAGTTTGAACGCTCATGACAGCGTACATCGAATGAGGGTGTGCCAAGTCCGTAGACTTGCATGGTTAATTAGGGTGCGCCAAGTCTGTAGACTTGCATCGTTTTCCATCGTAAATAAAATTGTTAACTAATGCCTTCCTAAAGAAACCATCGACATGGGACCAGGTTTGTTCCACTCTACGAATTTTTTGCGATTTTTCCACCAAGTTTGATGAAAAACGATTGTGCCGTTTCGGCTGCCCAGAACAGACACACACACAAACAGACACACTCCTAGTCCTATAGTATATTTGATGTTATATTAATCATGATGAACCATAAATCATATGAGAATATAATACTGAATCAATAAATAAATAAACCTGATGAATGTGGCAAGCACCTGATCAGCCCCACCCTGCTTACAGTGTCTTGGTTATCTGTAGGCCTATCACAAATCTCATTAGACCACTGTACAGTATTCAGTAAGTGTTGTTCATTTCATAAGTTTTTTTTTATTAATCATCCCCATTTCTTAAAACAGAATTTTTTTTCTGGTGACCAGAGCGTCTCAGTCCTCAAAAGCTAATTCCAATATACCCTGAACAGTATTGAAGTCTGATTTATCGAGGTTTTATTATATTGTTATTTAGGAGAATAAACATTTTGTCCCATGTTTGGTTTGTGTTCAATTCACTATACTCTACCATACTACACAGTGGACCCTCCATTAACGAGCGGTTCAATTTATGAGATTTTAGTGAACGAGTTACTGTACCAACCGTAAGGGCTTTCAGTTCTATTAACGAGTACAAATTCTATTAACGACTGCCTTACGAGAAACACGTTTGGGCGCGTGCATCAGCTGATCGACTCGTCCGCCAATAATCGGCTCTTATGTTTACCTTTGTTTCCAGTGGAGTAAACATCGAGAAAGTTGTGCTCTTGAATATTTTTGCCTTTTTACATTAAAATTATTGGTCATTCTGAAATTTAGTTAGTATATTGATAATATACAGAGCAGTGTTGGTTTAAATAAAAAAAAATCTGGAATTAGTTAAATAAATTGTTGTGAACTTAAAATTTTATTGGTGAAATTATCAAGCATGAATCCAACGAAATCTCGGAAAGTGATTTCAATTCAAGTGAGGCAAGAAATTATTAAGAGATACTAAGAAGGCATTAGAACCAATGCACTCTGTAAAGAATATGGCATGTCATCATAGACTGTGTCTACAATCGGCTGTTTGAGCTACCACTATGTAAACAAAGCCGCTGGGAATTCTACATACGCACCTCAAATTAAGTGTTATAATATTTTATTGGTTTTTTATTTATTATTTTATAGTATACTGTACAGTACTGTATATTGGTGAATGTTTTGTTAATTCTATTAACCGGTATACAGTACTTTGTATGTACTTTTTAATTCAATTTAAGGGAATTCTGTGAGTTGGAACCAATTACCCAATACAATATACCATTGAAATAATAGATTCAGTTAACGAGTGAGTCACTGTGGAACCAATTGTGTTTGTTAATGGAGGGACCACTTTACTATACTGTACCATACTGTATGGTACTGTGCTATACTGTATGGTACTGTACTATACTTTATGGTACTGTACTATACTTTATGGTACTGTACTATACTGAATGGTACTGTACTATACTGCATGGTACTGTACTATACTTTATGGTACTGTACTATACTGAATGGTACTGTACTATACTTTATGGTACTGTACTATACTTTATGGTACTGTACTATACTGTATGGTACTGTACTATACTTTATGGTACTGTACTATACTGAATGGTACTGTACTATACTGTATGGTACTGTACTATACTTTATGGTACTGTACTATACTGTATGGTACTGTACTATACTTTATGGTACTGTACTATACTTTATGGTACTGTACTATACTGTATGGTACTGTACTATACTGTATGGTACTGTACTATACTGTATGGTACTGTACTATACTTTATGGTACTGTACTATACTGTATGGTACTGTACTATACTTTATGGTACTGTACTATACTTTATGGTACTGTACTATACTGAATGGTACTGTACTATACTGCATGGTACTGTACTATACTTTATGGTACTGTACTATACTGAATGGTACTGTACTATACTTTATGGTACTGTACTATACTTTATGGTACTGTACTATACTGTATGGTACTGTACTATACTTTATGGTACTGTACTATACTGAATGGTACTGTACTATACTGTATGGTACTGTACTATACTTTATGGTACTGTACTATACTGTATGGTACTGTACTATACTTTATGGTACTGTACTATACTTTATGGTACTGTACTATACTGTATGGTACTGTACTATACTGTATGGTACTGTACTATACTATACTGTATTGTACTGTACTATACTATACTGTACAGTATGGTACTGTACTATACTATACTATACTGTATTGTACTGTAATATATTGTACTGTACTGTATTGTACTGTACTATACTATACTATATTGTACTGTAATGTATTGAACTATACTGTACTGTAGTGTACTGTAATGTATTGTACTGTATTGCACTGTACTGTAATGTATTGTACTATACTATACCGTATTGTACTGTAATGTATTGTACTATACTGTACTATACTATACTGTATGGTACTGTACTATACTATATTGTACTGTAGTGTATTGTACTGTATTGTAATGTACTGTACTGTAATGTACTGTAATGTATTGTACTGTATTGTACTGTACTGTACTGTACTATATTGTACTGTAATGTATTGTACTGTATTGTACTGTACTGTATTGTACTGTACTGTATTGTACTGTAGTGTATTGTACTGTATTGTACTGTATTGTATTGTACTGTATTGTACTCTACTCATGTTACAGTAAAACATTTTTAGTTTATATTTATGGATAAGTGAACATTTTTAATCAGTTAATTTCTTCATGTTTCTTAAAGTTGCCACATTAGATGAAAGTTCTGTTATACATTTAGTACATGTAGCTGAGTGATGACAGTTGCAGTCACATTTTAGCTATGCCAAAATCATTGTTTTTCTCCATTCTTAAATTTCTGGGTATAAATCCTTGATAGCCTATAATGCCAATTTGACATGCTTACCATTTTGACTCAGTGTTCACAAAATCAATAATTATATACTACATTGTGCCACAAGCATTTGTATTGTAAGTATTAGTGTAGTGAGGTGTTTGAACAAGTCATTAATGTAAGTGAATCTTGTGAGATCAGTTATCCATCATTCTTATATCTGGACAAGACTTGAGTTATTGAATCAAGTGGATTATAAGAGTTAGGAAAGGAGAGTCTCTGTTTCACTTGATTCCTGCCATCTGTGAGCAAGCTGACAACTTGGAGATTAAATATATACTGTACAGTTGTCACAAGACATAAGACGTTGTACAGTTGTCACAAGACATAAAACGTTGTACAGTTGTCACAAGACATAAGACATTGTCAGAAGACATCTTTACTTTGCTTTATCCTCTTGGCCTGTTACTGTTAGCTTCTTGAGTGGCTGGTCACATCTCTGTTACACACTGTTGGCAAGTACTGGCTCTCTGTTACACACTATTGGCAAGTACTGGCTCTCTGTTACACACTATTGGCAAGTACTGGCTCTCTGTTACACACTGTTGGCAAGTACTGGCTCTCTGTTACACACTGTTGGCAAGTACTGGCTCTCTGTTACACACTGTTGGCAAGTACTGGTTATGTACTGGCTCCAGAATGTATCTCTGTTGGTCAAGTCTGATCTTGAATGAGTTCACAATTCTCACTCCGAAAAAGTTTGTCCTC